TTAAAGTTAGTAAGAGTTAAAATAGGGGTATGTAAGGCATTGCTTTCACACCCCTACTTCAGTTTGTTCTTGTTCTTTTTGATATATGTCCTGCTAGTGCCTTGCCTTCATATAACATACTCTAACTTGCAATCATGTACTTAATGGTATGATTATTTATATATGTAGCAGAAGGAAACAATATAAGCTCTATGTGGACCCGAATGTTTTTTTATTTTCAGTACTAGACTTAAAGGGCAGAAAATTCAAAATAAATCTTTCCTAAAGACAGTAAATACTTTTTGTCATGTAACTAAATGTTTAACTTTTACTGAGAATGCTAAAAAATTTCTAGCTATAATATCCAGGAAAATCCTCTTAAGAGACCAGAGAGTCTCTTAATACTTCATTTCCACTTAGTAATATGTATGTGTCACATTTTGTCCTACACGCATAAAGAAACTAAGAGGAAGTAATGCTATGGTTTATGTTTTGGATGTAGGGTCATAATGAGAACTCCGAGGATAGAAGATACAGATAGGACGATCATTATTCACTGTAATAATTTTTAAAACATTTTTCGCAACATGAATGTTACGTGAAAAGATTTTGTAAGGGCGTTAAGATACTTGCATGCTGGCGTGTACTTCTTTTGGCAGAAGGATCAAGAGTTTGAGGCCAGCTTGGGCTTTATATTGAGACCTTACTTCCAGAAAAAACAAGGAGAAGTTGTGGAGTAAATATAAAAGAAATACGTTTTATATAGATGATTTCATAAATAATATATTTCATTTAGATTATTTCACTATATCTAGGTCAGTGATTTCTTCTCATCCCAGCAGTTTTTGAGAGTCTGATAGAAGAGAATGAGAATAAGCACTTATTATATAAACAGTTTCATGTAGTATTTCTAACCTCAGTGAATACCTTGATATAGGCTAATTATTGTTAATTAGTTTCTGTATTACAAAGAGATTTTTTAAATCTTGTAGAGGCTAAGTCATGAGGATGAAAGTCATTCAGTGAGGCTACTAAGTATACTAAAATGAGAAGTCAACAAATTTCATGATGGAATGAAACTTGTACTTCTATATTTAATTTACCCATATTAAACTGGTATAGATTTTAGTTTCAAGTAGACCTGAGATGGCAGTTGTCCTAAATGTTAACCTTGCTTTTCGTAAAAATAAAAAGCCCAGCTTAGCCTGGTGCCGGTGACTCATGCATGTAATCTTAGCTACTCCGGAGGCTGAGATCTGAAGATGATGGATCAAAGCTGGCCTGGGCAGGAAGTCTGTGAAATTCTTAATCTCCAATTAACCACCAGTAAAACTGGAAGTGGCACTGTGGCTCAAGCAGTAGAGTGCTAGCCTTGATCTGAAGAGCTCAGGGACAGTGCTCAGAGTTCAAGCCCCACGACCAACCAAAAAAACCCAAAAAACAAAAGTCCAGCTTCTTTGGGCTTTATAAACTAAATTTTAAAAAAGTAATTGAAAAGTTCTATTAATTCTCAAAAGGGCCTAAGCAGATACCAATCATCTCATGTTGGAAAATTAGTTAAATTAGAATTACTAATAAGATTTTAGTTTTTTGATACTGAATATCACTTTTAAGTATTAATTGGCTTCAAACTTGGCTACCTTCCTGCCTTAGCCTCCTAAGTGCTAGGATTACAGGCATGTGCTACCATACTTAGCTTTGTTAGTAAGTTATAACATTTTGTTTTATTCTGGAAACCTGTTCAGAAAGTAGGACATCAAATTGTATCAAAATTACTTCTCCCTTGTTCTTATGAACAGCTGAACTATGTCTATGAATATGTCCTGCGTTCATATACATTTTCTTCTTGGTGCTTTATATTCATATTTTTCTGAGTCGTAACAGTTTTAAACTATATTAGCAAGGACATCTTCATTTTCTAATGTTATGACATGTGGCAATAACTAATCCCTGAACTTCAGGGGAAAAATGATTTTGTTTTAAACAGTTCTTGTGGGGACAGAATAATAAGGAAATTCTGTTATAGCAGCATTTCCCTGAAATCAAGTAGTAGATAAGGAAAAATTAAGCTGATAATAATCATTTTCTGCTTAAGTCTCATATTCCTTGAACAGGTTTGCATACTTGCTGCAGTGTTAAGGCTTTTTTCTTTTTTCTTTGTCTTTTCCTTTCCCCCCACCCCCCAGCACTAGGTATTAAACTCAGGACCTCACTTTTCTTTTTCTTTTATTCCCTTCTCCCCTCCCCCTTACAGGGTACTTGAGTTCAGGGCCTGGATACTGTCCCTGAGCTTTTTTGCTAAAGGATTGTGCTCTACAACTTTGAGCCACAGAACCACTTCTGGTTTTCTGGTGGTTAATTTGAGAGAAGAGACTCAAGAACTTCACTGCTGGGGCTAAATCTTAGCCTCCTGAATAGGATTACAGGAGTGAGCCACAGCACCTGGCTTCACTCATTTCTTTATATGGGGTTCTTACATATCCTATAGATCTAAAAATAAGTTTTCACAGACAGATCTGTGACCTGAAATTTTTACTGTTCCTGAATTGGAGAGAGAATCTATAGGTTTCATTGTAATCAAAACGTATTTGCTTTCTGTTCTCCTAGAGATTGTATCCTAGAAATGATGGACATTGGATAAACAAAAGTTAAGCAAGAAGGCTTTTCATCAGAAAAACCGGAAGTGGTGCTGTGGCTCAAGTGGCAGAGCGCTAGTCTTGAGCTAAAAAGCTTGGGGACAGCGCCCAGGCCCAGAGTTCAAGCCCTGCGACTGACAAAAAAAAGAAAGTTAAGCAAGAACCATAGGTGACAAGTATTTTATCGACTATAAATTTATCAATAGATTTAAATACTAATATAAATACCTATGTATTTAAATATTTCTGTAAATACGTAAGTAGAAATACATAAAATATATTTAAACATAGTGCTGGATTGAGGATAGAGGTTATTGTAGACTTTTAAGTGCTCAGGGAAGGCTACTGAGAAGTTGGTGTTGTTAGTAACATTAAATGACAATGAGTGTGAACCCTAATTCAGAGATTGAACAGGGAGAAGCTAGCACTATGATCCAGTGATAGATTATCAGTTGTAAACCAGACTATGAAATTAGGATTTTATTCTAAATATAATGACAAGCTATTTCAAGATTTTAAACTGAAAAATAATGAGACAAGGGAACTGAATGCTCAGAGAACTCCAGCATTTAGAAGTTTTAAGAGTTCAGAAGAATGGCCAGTGAGTTCATTGACATTTTAAACAAGGTTAAAGAACCCAGATACCTAGCAACAAATGGTTCAAGAAAACCTGATATTGTGGGAAATTTCACATAATGTGTGTGTGTGTGTGTGTGTGTGTGTGTGTTGTTATGGAAGCTATTTGAACACACTTGCATATATATAACTAACTTTAGAACTAATAAGGCTGGGTCCCTGTGGCTTCTACCTGTAATCCTAGCTACTCAGGTGACTAACATCTGAAGATCATAGTTCAAAGCTAGCCTAGGGAGCAAAGTCCATGAGACTCTTATTTCCAGTTAGCTACAAAAAGCAGGAAGTAGAGTTGTGGTCAAGTGATAGAATGCTAGCCTTGAGTACAAAAGCTAGGGACAGGGCCCAAGTCCAGAGTTCAAGCCTTAGTACTGGCAAATTAATAACAACAACAAAGTGTTCTCATACCTCATGTATGCTAATAAAGCATTCTACCACTGAGCGACACCGTCTTGTTTTTGTTTTTGAGATAGCTTCTTGATGTGTAGCCCTCCTTCATCAGTCTCTCAAGTGCTGGGCTTATAGGCATGTACTACTATACCAGCTTTCCAGCTCTGTACAATAATAATTAATTTTAAAGGGACCATTAATGAACAGTGCTTCTGTTAAGCAGATTTCCTGTTTGAATCCTGATTTTACCACTTTCTACTTCAATAACCTCTGGCAGTTGCTTAGTGTCTTAGCTTAACATTTCCTGTAACTTGAATAAACGATAACCTGAGACTTCTATTGGAGTGAATTGTAAGGACTAGAGATTGTATGTGGAAGCCAGTCTAGTTAGTATCTGGTACATCACAAAGACTTAATAATAATGTTGGTTGTGAATGTGGAATTAATTTGGGAATGTCTGTTAAGCCATTATCTTTTTATTTATTTATTTATTTTTGGTCAGTTGTGCGGCTTGAACTCTGGGCTTGGGTGCTGTCCCTGCACTCTTCAGCTCAAGGCGAGTGCTCTACTGCTTGAGCCACAGTGCCACTTCTGGTTTTCTAGTGGTTTATTGGAGATAAGAGTCTCACGGACTTTGCTGCGTGAGCCACCAGCTCCCAGCAAGCCATTAATTTTGTTTTGTTTTGTTTTTTGGTGCCAGTCCTGAGGTTTGAACTTACTGTCTCTGAACTTGTTTTGCTCAAGGCTAGCACTCTACCACTTGAGCAACAGCTCCACTTCTGGACCTTTTTTTTTTTTCCCCTCAGTAGTTTAGTGGAGATAAGAGACTCATGAACTTTCCTGCCCAGGCTGGTTTAAAACAAACTGTGATCCTCAGTTCTTAGCCTCCTGAGTAGCTAGAATTACTGGTGCAAGCCACTTGTGCTGCTTCATTTAGTTATTTTATTAGCTATTAGCTCACTTTGTAAAACCCCAGACAGTTGGGTGCTGGTGGCTGATGCCTGTAATCCTAGCTACTCAGGAGACTGAAATCTGAGTATTACTTGCTGTTTGAAGCCAGCCCAAGCAAGAAAGTCCATGAGATTCTTATCTCCAATTAACCACCAAAAAGCGAAAACAAAAACTTATAGTTCAATACTTTTATTATTCTAGACATCAGTTCTCATTTTCAAAATTGCAGTTATTAATAAATTAGTAGGTATTATTTAATATGCTCAAGCAGGAAGTGCAACAAGATGAGTTGCTGATATTAAAGTGATATTAAAGATTGTAGACTGGAGACTGGACTTATGATTCCTTACTTTCAATATTTATTTGGAGTGAAAAACATGATACTTAAGTTTCTTTCTTTTTGTTTTCCAGGTTATATTTCACACTATGTGCTGACTGTATCTACAGAAGATATTTAAAAAAAGATAAACTTTTTTCAAAGATTTTGATTCCAGTGGAATCTTTGCTTTAGATTTGTGTGTGTGTGATTGTGTGTGTGTATGTCTGTGTGTGTTAGTGAATTGTAACTCCAGTAGCAATGCCTGTACAAGCTCCACAATGGACGGATTTCCTCTCCTGCCCAATTTGCACTCAAACTTTCGACGAAACAATTCGAAAGCCCATCAGTTTGGGCTGTGGCCATACTGTCTGCAAGATGTGCCTGAATAAACTCCACCGCAAGGCTTGCCCTTTTGACCAGACCACTATCAATACAGACATTGAGCTCCTCCCCGTGAACTCAGCATTGCTGCAGCTAGTGGGTGCTCAGGTAATTAATTTTTAAAATTGCATATGTATGTTATGTGTATTGTGTGTTCTTCTGGAGTGAAAATCTGTGGAATCAAAAAGACATTGCTTTAAGTAGGTGTAATTCTTTTCTGTACAATTCTAATCCTTTATATAGATGTGGCATTCCAAGGTTTTCAGTCATTTAATAGAAACCTCCATTTAATCTTGGGGTCAGTTTTTCAACAATTCTAGACATTTAGGTTACTAGGTAACCTTAGAGGTAAATCATAAGGACTTCTTAACAAGAAGGAAAATATTCATAAAAACATGTAACATACTCAATAGGAAAGGTGAAGCTGCTTCAGGAGATAGTTACTGAGATAGTAACTGGAATAGAAGATGAGAAAGGTGACAAGAACTTTAGAGTACAACTTTTGGAAACTACTTCTAGAGAACAGGAACAAAAATTCCTGGATATTTAATATGAAAGTAGTTTGGTGATTCTGAAGGTAATACTTTGAAAGTGTTACATAAGTACTCTTTTTTTTTGTTGTTGTTGTTGGTCGTAGGGCTTGAACTCTGGGCCTGGGTGCTGTCCCTCAGCTCTTCAGCTCAAGGCGAGCACTCTACCACTTGAGCTACAGCGCCACTTCTGGTTTTCTGGTGGTTTAGTGGAGATAGGAATCTCACAGTCTCTCCTACCCAGGCTGACTTTGAACCGCGATCCTCAGATCTGAGTAGCCTCCTAAGTAGCTAGGATTACAGGCGTGAGCCACCAGCGCCCAGCTATATAAGTACTCTTAAATTAGAGATCCATATGCTCACAAGTTTTAAAGCCAAGAGAGGCATATTTTTGAGAACTAATAAAACATCTGGATGAAATTACTAATTTGTATAGTATGCCTGAAATCCCTTAAACAAAAGATTAATCTTCCTGTAAATTGCTATCATATAGCAAAGGTGATGTTACATATATTTGAGATAAAAGAAAATTTTTTTCTAGAGTTTTTTTCTTATTTAAAAGGAATGCTTATTTTATAAACCTACTTTGATATTACCAGAACCTCTAAATATCTGCTGAAAGGAAATGTAGTTGATTCTTTTTATTTTCTTTTTGATCTTAATTTTTTATTTAATATGTTCTCTTTTTATATTGAAAGTCTAGTATGGTCTTTTGGAAAGATTTTTAGTCTCATTGGGGTTAAATTTTTAGAAATAATTACATTTTAATGGCAGACAGATTCTGTTAAGAAGCAGTGAAAGATAAGGAATTCAACAAAGTTCCTGGGTACAAAAATCAACATGCAAAAATAAATGAACATTTCTACATGCTAACAATAAACAACCTGGAGAGGAAATTAAGAAGTTTCATCACAGAAACTGAAATACTTTAAAATAAATTTAATGAGGGAAATGTATACTCAATACTGTATAACATGGCTAAAACTGAACATGAATAAATTAAACTTGCACAGATTTTTTTTCCCCTATGAAAGTTATTTCAGCCACAAACTAATGCACTCTGCTGTTTTAATTTCAAAATCAAATGAAACTTATTTGGGTGGAAAAAAATAAGTGAAGGGGACTGGGAATGCAACTCTGTGGTAGAGCACTTGCCTAGCATGCTTGAGGCTCTAGGTTTAATTTCCAAGAGAAAAAAAGGGGAATAATGAAAAGGACTTGAATATCAATTTTCCCTAAGAAAGTGTGTTTATTAACACAAAATGATGGCCACCAACCCAAATCAAAACCAGAAAATTATTACTTCATACTTTCTAGGATGACTATCAAAAATGTAGAAAATAAAAAGTGTTGGGAAGAATATAAAGAAATTGGAACTCATATACATTTTGGTTGAAATAAAAGATAGTACAACAAATATGAAAGATTGTATGGTAGTTTCTAAAAACAAACTGAAGTTGCACTATATAATCAATTGGACTATATAACCAACCCATCAGTTCTGCTTAGGTGTATATACTTGAGAATTAAAACAAAGATTTTTTTTTGGGTCCGGTCCTGGGGCCTGAACTTTGGGCCTGGGCGCTGTCCCTCAGCTCTTCAGCTCAAGGCTAGCGCTCTACACTTGAGCTACAGCGCCACTTCTAGCTTTTTTCATATGTGGTGCTGAGGAATCGAACCCAGGGCCTCAGGCATGCAAGGCAAGCGCTCTACCACTGAGCCAACTTCCCAGCCCTAAAACAAAGATGTTTATACACACATTTACAACAGTATTATTCAGAGAAGCCAAACAATGAAAACAACCGAAAGCATCCATTGAAAAGGATGAAATAAATGTAGTATATTTGGAATATTATTTAGTTTATGAAAGAGAACGAAATTCTTATGCATATAACAGTATGGAAAAATCTTGAAAACAGTCCAAGTGAAATCATCCAGGTACAAAAGGAAAAATATTGAGTGTTTAAACTCATACAATATATCTAGAATAGGCAAAAGTCATAGACATATAAAATAGAATATAGAAGTTACCCAAGCAGCAAAGGAAGATGAGATTGAGGAGTTTATGATTTCTTGGGTATAAAGTTATTTAGGATGATGAAAATGTCATGGATGAAATTAGTGGTGATAAATGGAAAATATGAACATACTTAGTATATTTTACATACCTAAAAGTAGTTAAAATTGTAAATTTTCTCTTTATATATTTTGTCCCAATGTTTTGTAAAAGTAAAAATATACTGTTATGACATGAACTTTGTTCAGAAATACAAGTTTGGTTAAACTCCTAGAAATCAGTATAGCAATAGGATTTTTCTTTAATGTATGTATACCTAGTTATCTCAAGAGCCACAGAAAAGGCATTTGGCAAAATCTTACAGTTCCATCATTAAAAAACAAACAACAACAAAATAAAAAACTAAGAAACTTGGAAAAGAAGGAAGCTTTAAAAAAAAATTTTTTTTTGTCAGTTAATGGGTTTGAAAAAGTAGCAGTAGTGTCCATGGGTGGACCCGAAGGAAATTTCTTAAATTGGGTAGATAAAATGTATGAAAAACTCACTGCTAATGTTAAAATTATTGAGAATGGCAGATTCTTTTTTTTTTTTTTTTTAATTTAATTTAATTTTATTTGTGAACATACTGTACAGAGGAGTTACAGTTACATGGGCAGGATAATGCGTACATTTCTTACCAAGCATTGCAGCCTCCTCCTTTGTTTATCCTTCACATCCCGAGAATGGCAGATTCTAAGACTAAGACAAGAAGCATTTAGAATGAGACTGAGTATCTTGTGCTAGAAAGTAAAATGTTTAAATGCACAAAGTGAGGGGTCCATATTAAAGGCATACAGGAGTTAGAAAATTTTTCAGTGGCCAAAGCTGAAACACTCTCAATGAAATAAATAAATACACTTATTCGATTGTAACACAAAGAATTAAAAAATCTGAGTCTATATTGATGAAATTTATATGGAGGGAATAAACAAATCTCCAATGTAGAATTCCAAAGCAATTATTTAGATACAGTGCCTTAAAAGAGGTATAATGAAAGTATAGACTATGCATAATAACTTTTTTTTCTTTTTTTGGCCAGTCCTGGGGCTTGAACTTAGGGCCTTGGCACTGTCCCTGAGCTTCTTTTGATCAAGGCTAGCATTCTACTACTTGAACCACAGTGCCACTTGTGGCTTTTTCTGTTTATGTGATATTGAGGAATTGAACTCAGAGCTTCATGCATGCTAGGCAAGCACTCTACCACTAAGCTACATTCCTAGCCCCATAATAACTCTTAAAAAATGCAATTAGAGTCAGGAGCCGGTGTCTCATTCCTGTAATCCTAGTTACTCAGGAGGCTGAGATCTGAGGATCGCTGTTCAAAGCCAGCCCTGGCAGGAAAGTCCATGAGACTCTGACCTCTAATAAACCACCAGAAAACTGGAAGTGGTGCTGTGGCTCAAGTGGTAGAGTGCTAGCCTTGATCAGCTGAGGGACAGTGCCCAGGCCCAGAGTTCAAGTCCCACAACACACACACACACAAATATAAATGCAATTAGTTGAGTTGGAATATGGCTGAACACCTGATAGCAAGTACCAGGCTAGTAAATATGAGACTCTGAGTTCTTCTCTCAAAAAAAAAAAAAATGTGATTAGGAGGTTGCTTACTAACTTACGAAGTTCCACGAAGATAGAGTTCTTCTTTTACTTCAGGATGCATAGCTCCATTTCTTTTTATGTGTGTGCCTATGATTTCATTTCATTCAAAGTTCAAGCAACTGTTATTGGAACTCCTGTTCCATAAAATGTAGTGTAGGATGATGACCTAGTAATTAGGAAAAGAGGTATATCAAGAGGATGTATCTGGAATAAAAAGGACACCTGAAAAGAATATACAGCTTGTTTTAAAGATTTTAAATTTTTAGACTAAAACACACACATAGAACAGTTGTGGAATTATTCCAAACTTCTGGTGTTGCATATAAGTGTATAGGTAAGGAAAAGGCCCACAAAACTCAAATCATTATCATAGAGTTCCAGTATAGATACCAGATCTTGAACTTAACTCTCTTTTCAACTACATTGAGGCTCTCCACAGAAGATGCAGGAGGAAAAAAGAAAGAGCTTTTTATTTCATCTAAGGTGAATTATCACCTATGATTTGTCCTTTTATTGTATATTGTACTGAGAAATAGTTGTCCCATTATACCACCACTTTGTTTATAACCATAGTAAGTCTTGTTATTAAAGATAGAAGAATTCATAGTTCTTCCTTATTCACTTATGCAACATACCATGTAAATATAATAGTGCTGAAGAAAGAAGGGGGGGGACCTAAGGAAAAGGAGATAAAACATGAGGAGTGGTAGCTCTTCCCTGTCAGTGACTATACAAGACTCAGCCCATGGCAAATGCTCAGTAAATATACAGTCTTGGAATGACCAGACCGTAAGATTAAAAAAAAAAAAAAGAGTATGAGAACTGATTTTTAAAAGGAAAGTTCAGTTTAGATTATCTCAACTTTTCTCTTAGCCTAAAATTATCCCAAAAGAAGTAAAGTGTTTTAGAGAAACTGTTTAAGTTATTTCAACAAATTCTAATTGACTATTTACCAGACTTCTGAAATTCTGACTTTTATCTCTGTGACACTATGGTTGATTTTGTTTTCTGTTTTGTCTTATTTCCTTTACTCAGATTAAGTTTCTGAGTGAAAATGTGGTAATCTAATATAGTTTGTGATAAAATAGAACTTTTTATGTATGACCTTATTCAAAAAAAAACCTGAGTCTTTGGTTTTTAATTAAAATGAGAAAAACGTATGAAGAACATTCTACAACATACTAGTACTCTACAAACTGTTCAAGTCATGAAAAACAAGGAATGTTAAAAAAAACCGTCAAAGAAAGCTTAAGAGATATATGAATATAAAATGTAATGTGATATCCTGGATGGAATCCTGGAAGAAGAAAGGAAATAATACATTAAATTTGGATTATTAGTGTTAACAAATGAATGGTAACAATGTAAGATGTTAATAATACTGAAAGCTAGTTGCAGGGTAATGGGAATTCTCTGTACTGTCTGCTATATTTCTTTAAGCCTAAAGTCAAATTTATCTCATGATGCAGTAAATATGTATCCAAAGATCACATTTTACTCCATAAATATATAAAATTTAATGTTTATAAATTTAGGAATAAAATTAAATAACAATCACTAGGCTCTCCGTTCCATCCAGCATTAAAAAAATTAATTAAAAAAAAATCTACCCCTCTGTACAGTATGTTCACAAAAAAAATAAAATAAAATAAAATTTTAAAAAAATCTATTAGTAACTTATGACTTTCTACTCAATAGAATTACTACAAAAAAAGAAAAAGTATACGGTAGGTATGGAAAATGGTCTTTGAGAGATTTCCAAAAGATTGAACATAGGAGTTTCCACTCAAAGGTATATGTACCCTAAAAACATATGCACATTAAAAACTGCACAAATGATCATAGAAGCATCATTCATAGTAATGAAAAACTAGTCTTAATATTTTATCAGTTGATGACTACATAAATAAAATATGATACAATCAAATACTGGACATTATTCAATAAAAATAATGATTTGCGCCACAGCCTTTGATGACCCTTGAAAAAATTATGCTAAGCAAAAGAAGAAAATACCTGTTATCTGATTTTATTATTTGATTTATGTGAGAAATACACAATAGACAAATCAGTAGGAGCCATAGAAAATAGAGTTTGGGGAGGAAATGATGAAAGAGTTTCAGGTTTCTTTTTAGATAGGAAATATTTTCAAATTGACTGTAGTGATGGTTATTCAATTATGAATGTACTAAAGATCACTGAATTATGTAATTTGTACCAGTCAATGATATAGCATGTAAATTTTTCTCTCAGCCTGGGGACAGAAAGTCCTCAAACCCTTATCTTAGCATAAGCTAGGCGTGTGATACATGCCTGTAATCAAAGCAATGTAGCAAACTACATATAGGATCTAAGACAAAAATGAAAAATGGCTATCCAAAAGGTAATAAATGCTAAACACTTGCCTGGCAAGAGCAAGGCACTAATGTCAAAACAAAAAAAGTAGTAAGACAATGGAAAGAATTTAATTTCCTAAGAGTTTGATATAAGCACAAAAACGTGTCAGTACATTTGCTGTACTACTAATTGAAACATTTGTTTGGTTTAGTCATGAATACTTAGAATTTTTCTGTGGTCACAGGTCCCTGAGCAGCAACCCATTACTTTGTGTAGTGGGGTTGAAGATACAAAGCATTATGAGGAGGCCAAGAAGTGTGTAGAAGAATTAGCATTGTACCTGAAACCGCTCAGCAGTGCTAGAGGTAAATCTCATTAATTGACTATACTAAGTAAAAATAATTTCCCTGGCTGGGCACTGGTGGCTCAACACCTGTAATCCTAGCTACTCAGGAGGCTGAGATCTGAAGATCGTGGTTCAAAGCCAGTCCAGGCAGGAAAGTCCTTGAGACTCCAATTATCCACCAGAAAACCAGAAGTGGTGCTGTGGCTCAAGTGGTAGAGTACTAGCCTTGAGCTGAAGAGCTGAGGGACAGTGCCCAGGCCCAGAGTTCAAGCCTCACAACTGACCAGGAAAAAAAAAAATAATTCCATTGAGCTAGTGGTGCTAGTGGCTGATGCCTTCTAGTTACTTGGCTGAGATTTGAGGATTGAGATTTGAAGCCAGTCTGAGCAGAAAAGCTGTTGAGATTCCCATATCCAGTTAACCAGCAAAGAAGCTGACCCGAGGATTATGGCCCAAGTGGTAGAATGCTAGCCATGAGTGTAAAAGCCAAGCAAGAGCATGAGGCTGAGAGTTCAAGCCCAGGTTCAGTACACACACATATATACAAATTGTAAGCTATAAGTAAATACTAAAGAATACTTGAGGTAGTGCTAGAGATTGAACCTAAGGCATTATACATGCTAGGCAAGCACTTACCACTCAGCTGTACCCCATATATATTAAATGCTAATGATGTTTATTGTAAAACAAACCTGCTTCATGCTAAGTAATATTACAAACCACATAAAATAATGTAATAAATTTAGAGTTTATGTAATGTTGGGAACAATGAATGACTGTAGATGTAAGTACACTAGTGAAAAAGGTCTTTCCATCTACTCTGCAGAGTCTGTCTTTTTCTCTGGCTTTAGATTTGTATGTAGGAGATAAGAAAGTTGCCATTACTAGCCCGGCACCATGGCTCATGCCTATAATGCTAGCTACTCAGGAGGCTAAGATCTGGGGATCACAGTTCAAAGCCAGCCTGATCAGAAAAGTCCATGAGACTCTTTATCTCCAATAAACCACCAGAAAACCAGAAGTGGCACTGTGGCTCAAGTGATAGAGCACTCACCTTGAGCTGAAGGGCTGAGGAACAACACCCAGGCCCAGAGTTCAAAACCCACAACCGACCAAAAAAAAAAAAAAGTTGCCAGAAAGGGCTTGCGGTGTAACTACGAAAGGAAGAAACCACTAGCAAAGATGTGCTGAGCTGTTTTGATTCCAGTCTTAATCATTAATATTTTCTGCCCTTGTTTTCTTCTGTAATTAAAATTAATAATGAAGTCAGGTGTTGTGGTTCATACCTATAATCTCGGGTACTTAGTAGACAGAGGCAGGAGGACCCTGAGTTTGAGGCCAGCCTGGGCAAAGTTAGAAAGACCCTGTTCAAACAAAAAAAGAACTGAGGGCATGGTTTAAGTGGTAGAGCACTTGACTTATATGTGGAAGACTAGGTTTGATCCCCAATGCCACAAAAAAGTTGTTTTGAATGTTATAATGATTAGTAAATTTACATGAAATAATATTTACGTCGATTGTTGTATAGTTTTAAAAATGTTAACTAAATTTTACTTTTGTAGTTTTATTTTAAATATTCTAATCGGACCCAAAATATATACATAATTCAGAAATCATCAACACATTTCTCCTGGATTGTAAAATTGCACTGTAAGCCCAGAAATAACTTCTTTATTCTCTTCTAAAGGAGTGGGTCTGAATAGCACTACTCAGAGTGTTCTGAGTCGCCCAATGCAGAGGAAGCTTGTGACACTAGTCCACTGCCAACTAGTGGAAGAAGAAGGCAGGATTCGTGCTATGAGGGCTGCTCGATCTTTAGGTGAACGAACAGTTACAGAGCTCATTCTCCAGCATCAAAATCCTCAACAACTCTCTTCCAATCTTTGGGCAGCAGTCAGGGCTAGAGGCTGCCAATTCCTTGGACCAGGTATATGATTCAAATTTGGGATTTATTCTAGGAGTCCTAAAAGTATAGTATAAAAACTTAAGTGATGTATAAACAACTGATTCCTTGGGATTTTCTCTATCATCAAATAACATCCTACTTTACAGCCCTAGCTTGAGTAATTCTGTATATGTTAGGTTTAATAGAGAACTTAATGCCAAAAGTTTTCACTTGGAGAAATTTTTTACTTATTTAAAGTATAATACGTTGTAAAAATAATTTTTTGTTTTGTCCATTAATTGATATTTGCAGAAAACTATTACGTATTACATGAATGGATTCATCTAATCTCTACATGTGATAAATTCTGGTCCCATCCACTTTTTCCTAGCAATGCAGGAAGAAGCACTTAAGCTGGTTCTACTGGCTTTGGAAGATGGTTCTGCTTTGTCACGGAAAGTGTTGGTTCTTTTTGTGGTGCAAAGGTTGGAGCCACGGTTTCCTCAAGCTTCTAAAACAAGCATTGGGCATGTTGTTCAACTCCTTTATAGAGCCTCTTGCTTCAAGGTATGAATTTAAATTTATCTCTCTAACTTGAAAGGAAACAGTGTCTTTTCCCAAATCATAAGTGGTAAAATTTTGAGTTTAAGAAAGTTTATCTATACATTTTCAGAAAAATCTGAGCTGTTTTCTTTTTTCCTATTGGGGTTTGAGTTTATGTTTTTGTTTCTGTTTTTTTTTTTAACTTTAATTGTACAAAGAGGTTTCAGTTCAGCATGTCAGTTTCTGAGTACAGTGCTTGATCAATGTCACCCAGTTTTTCTTAAAAGAAAATCTGAGGATCATGGTTCAAACAGGAAATCCATGAGACTCTTACATCCAGTTTACCACCAAAAAGCAAGAAGTGGAGGTACGGCTTAAGTGGTAAAGTGCCATCCTTGAGGAAAAAATACTTAGGATAGTGCGCAAACTCTTGAGTTCAAGCCCCAGTACTGGCACAAAAAAGAAAAAAGGAAAAAAAAAAATCTAGGTTGTAGATTCTTTGAGTTAAATTCTATTACATTGTTGAGTTTTGAGAGGCATCAGAAGTTTTTCACAGTATTGGAAGATTGAATCCAGAGCCTCATTGCATGCTAGGCAAGTGGTCTACCCTGAGCTATATCCCCAACTTAAATTATTGGAAAAAACTGTATTTCCACTCAGACTGTAGACAGAATTGGTTTGAGAACGCCATTGAAGCAGGAGTAATTTTTATTTGGAGATATCTTCCTGGTTTAATTGTATATGCACAGTCTTAGAGCTCTAGTTACCATTTCAGTTTTAGTATTTTTTATCATGTGGGTGTATTTTCTTTTCTTTTCTTTTCTTTTTTTTTGTCAGTCCTGGGGCTTGTACTCAGGGCCTGGGTACTGTCCCTAGGCTGCCTTTGCTCAAGGCTAGCATTCTATCACTTAAGCCATAGTGCCACTTCCGGCTTTTTCTGAGGAATCAAACCCAGGGCTTCATGTATGCTAGGCAAGCACTCTAACCACTAAGCCACATTCCCAACCCTGGATATATTTTCTTATGTTACAAATTGAATTAGCACTGCTTCAAACATTGCTGCCCAGTGTGTATCATTTATTTTTTATCCTGTTTTATTTTGCTGACTTATTACAGACAAGGTTTCTTGCTTGTCCTGATAGCTATAAGGAAATCCATTCCTAAAATTTCTGCATTCCTTCATCTGATACTATGTGGGAAGTGGGCCTCAGTTTTCCTTCAGGGCTCTGAAGCTGTCAAATCCCACAACTAAAATCACTTTAACTGGGTCAGATTGCTACCAAATCCAGTAACTTCTGTTGTGGTTAGATTAATGTGGTTTTACAGTGTAATTTGTAATTTAGAAAGTCTGCCTGCTTTTAGTACTGATTGTTCTCCATTAACAATACCAGACCAAAAATGTCTAGTAAACTTAGAAAAAAAGGAAAAAGAAATATAGTTCTTCCCCTGTGAAAAATGATAAACCCAGAATACTCACAATGTGAACCTCTGTTAATCCTAACTAAAAGAATTAACAGTGGGCTGAGAGTACTTCAGCAATAGAATGTTTGCCATGGGCATGTGTTGGGCCCTGGGTTCGATCCCAAGCAAGAAGAAAGGAAGGGAAGGAGGGAGGGAAGAAGAGAAGGAGAGAAGAAATTTTTTTTTTGGTGTGTGTGCATGCGCGCACGTGTTGTTATTGTTGCTGTTGTTTTTGAGACAGTTTCACTCTGTAACCCAGAGCCTGGCGCAGAGCCCTCCAGCCTCAGCCTCCTGAGTATTGATTACCATTGTAGGTATGTCAATTGTAGGATGTTAGTTAGGAAGTAACATCCAAAGTGTGTTGAAGACCAAATGCAAACAGCGTATTCTATCTTAATGAATTTCAGTTGAAATAGTGACAGAGTATAATTTTTTTTTTTTTTTTGGGTCCGGTAGTGAGGCCTGAACTCTGGACCTGGGTGCTGTCCCTCAGCTCTTCAGTTCAAGGCGAGCGCTCTACCACTTGAGCCACAGCGCCACTTCCGGCTTTTTTCTTTTTGCTTATGTGGTGCTGAGGAATCGAACCCAGGGCCTCCAGCATGCAAGGCAAGCGCTCTACCACTGAGCCACCTTCCCAGCCCATCATTCCATATATTCAGTTTTCCTATAAGACCTACTCAGAAGATTTTGACATCTATAATGGGAGATGGTTTTTAGTCATCATGATATATTCAGTTTTACCCTTGTTTTTTTGCTTATAAAACAATAATTTGTTACATTAAAATTTGTGTTTATTTATATAAACATACAAATTTGGGGGTTTTCCCCATGATGAGATTATTTGTGTTTTACTAGGTCACTAAACGTGATGAAGACTCTTCTTTGATGCAGCTGAAAGAAGAATTTAGAACATATGAAGCTCTGAGGCGAGAACATGACTCTCAGATAGTGCAGATTGCTATGGAAGCAGGTTTAAGAATTGCACCAGATCAGTGGTCCTCTTTGCTTTATGGAGACCAGTCTCACAAATCTCATATGCAGTCCATTATTGACAAGGTAAAGCTTCTTTTATTCCCTAGCTTCTTAGCCTAATCATGGAGTGTGCGTAATTTGTGATTTGATAGTTTTATCTATTCAACAAATGAGTATTAAGTGAATACTGAATGTCAGGCTTTTATAAATTGGATTCACTTTAAGTATCATGTCATAACTAATAGTATTGATCATATAAATACATGATTAATGTTGTAATGTTGTATCTAGTACTTTTCTACATTATTTTAGATTCTCCTTTCTATTTTATCATTGTCCTTTCCCTTTATTAGTCTGAATTTGTGTTGGGGGAGGACACACACACGCTCAGTATGTGACCATGGAGAGAGGGGGAGGTGACTTTCAGGTGTGCTAGTTACCTAGGAGACACAGATAGTGGACAGAAATTTAGCCAAGAAGAGGGAGGAGTCTGTCCTGCCTTCCCAGGGTAGACCTTACATGTATGTGTTTTTGTGCATCTTGAGCTTTGAAACTCAGGGCTTAGGCACTGGCCCTGAGCTTCTTTGCTCAAGGCTAGCTCTACCATGTGAGCCACACCTTCACTTCAAGTTTTTAATGGTGAGTTGGAGTCTCATGGACTTTCCTGCCTGGGCTGGCTTCAAACTATAGTTTCCTGATTAGCTAGGATTACAAGCATGAGTCCACAGCACTGGTGGATCAGAATATTGTATACAATGTGCTAAGCTATGATATAGATTAATTTGTTAAGGTAATAGATAATTCAGTCTGGCAGTGTAGGGTATGTTTAACTTTAGTAACTTACAAAAATAATCATGAAACTGTAAGTAAATCTTATTTTTATCTTTATTTTTTTAAGTTGCAGACCCCAGCCTCTTTTGCACAAAGTGTTCAAGAACTAACAATTGCTCTCCAGCGGACTGGAGATCCAGCAAACTTGAACCGACTAAGACCCCATTTGGAACTGTTAGCAAACATTGACCCTAGTCCAGGTAATCCCAAGGAAATTAGTGGAGTATCTTATGTGTGTCATAAGTGCTGGTAGTGATACTCAAATTATCTTTTGTTACATTCCTTTAGAATTTCCCAGAAGTTTTCTGTAGAATTTTAATTTTTGCCCCAAATCTTAGCCCTCTTTATCTCATTAGCTTATTTGAACTAGTATTTATTTAATACTTTTAAAATATTATGATGCTCATCTTTCTTGGAAAATAGATTCTCTGGGTTCTTTATGTTTCTTCTATCACAAAATTGTGCTGTTTACCTTTCCTACCTCTTTTTCAAAACCCTCAAAAGAGGTTTTTCTCATTTTGTATCTTAGTTGCATTTCATTGATCTCATTTTTACCTTATTCGTAATATCTTGTTTTTAAATACCCTCTCTTGCACATCTTTACCTTGTCAGTATTTTCCAGTCTCTTTGCCTCTTTGACCTGAAAACACACCCAATCTTTTATCCTGATAATACATCTAAGATATTTTAGCTTCTATCACAGTGTTTGTCCTACTACTGAACAGAAACTCTCAATATTTACTAGTCTCTCATTCCAAAGACTTCTTGTCAGTCCTTAAGTTACTTCCTTTGTCTTCTGCCTTCAATGTTAACTGATAATGTTGACATCTTTAGTATAGAAACTCTTATGTCTTGTACCTGACTTATCCTCTTCAGCCCACAAAGGTATAATTAGTTTGTCCTCTTGGAATTTTATGTTTTCTGTAGTCTATGTTGATAGAATTTTATTCATTCATAGTATCAATATTACCTCTATGGAAATTGACTACCAAAATTCTTAGCACTGTTATTTCTTCAGTCTCCCCTAATCCATTTTCCAAATGCTTGCTGAGATTCATTATTATCTGGTCTGTGTTTCAGATCAGATGATCTTCATTTCATGCCTACTTTTCCAAACCTGTGCTTCTTCTAACTTGCTTTGTATCCTTTCTTTCACTGGTGGTACATAGCTCATATATGAAAGCCTCATTCCTTTCCTCTGAGACTTAATGCTTTACAATTTCCCCTTCTATTCTTCCAATCCAGTCTACCTACTGCTGCAAAGTAAATCACATGTCTGATATTATTCTACACTTAGAAATCGTTAGTGACACAGCATTGCTTGTAAAATAAGGTTGAAAACTCATGATTACAGCATTCAGAACCATCTTTTCATTACCCTATTTTTGTCAACTTACTTCCAAAATTGTTTCAACCAAACCAAATCGGGTATAGTCCTAAAACCATTTCCATCTCACTTTGACTATCCTGAGCAATTAAAAAAGCAATTAAACATATTAACCCCTCTACTGTTCTTGTATAGTAGTGGATAAATTGGCTACTCTGTACTATTTTCACCTTATCAAGTATATACCTCCAGTATCCTCTTTTTCATGTCATCACTTTTCCTTCTCTGTTATAGTATCTCTGTGGTCTGCAAATGTGCTGTTCCTTTTCATCATACTTTTTTCTCCCCATATCTCATCTATCTATCATCATATCTTTCTTTCTTTCTTTTTTTTTCTTTTTTTGTCGTCATGGGGCTTGAACTCTGGGCCAGGGCGCTGTCCCTCAGCTCTTCAACTCAAGACTAGCACTCTACCACTTGAGCCACAGCGCCACTTCTGGTTTTTTGGCAGTTAACAGTGATGTATCTAATAGGCAAGTCTTGCATCTTTACATAAAGCTGAGTAATAACCTCCCCTTTAGATAAGAGACCTGCTCTTGAGTTCTGCTTAGTCCCTGTCACTGTTTTGTGTCTTTGGTACTAATGGTCAAATGACAGTTGCTATCGTTGTCTTTACATAATTCCTTTTCTTTCTGGGTATTTTAGTTTGAAGCCCAAGATTTTAAATGATTTATCCATTCCTTTAAAGTGATAGGTTTCTAAGTTATTGTTTGAAAGTTATATAATTCTTTGATTTTTGTTAAAGAGTGATAGCACTCCTTTATTAGTGTAATATTTGACAAAATATTGAATACCATTATAGTTCAGCAATTTTTAAAAATAATTTATTGTATAGATGCTCCGCCTCCTTCTTGGGAACAGCTGGAAAATGGCCTGGTTGCTGTGCGTACAGTGGTACATGGACTGGTTGATTACATCCAGAATCACAGTAAAAAAGGAGCAGATCAACAGCAGGTAAGAGGGGCTAGTTCAAAATTTATAAGTAAGCCACTATCAGTGTATCTTGAAACTACACTAAAGCCACTGTGGATAAATCTACCAATAAAAAGCCAAAAGAGCTGGGAACCGGTAGGTGGCTCACGCCTGTAATCCTAGCTAATCAGGAAGCTGAGATCTGAGGATCACAGTTCAAAGCCAGCCGGGGCAGGAAAGGCAGGAAAGTCCGTGAGACTATCTCCAATAAACCACTAGAAAACCGGAAGTGGCACTGTGGCTTAAGCCATAGAGTGCTCGCAGAGTGCTCGCCTTGAGCTACTGAATAGCTAAGGGACAGCGCCCAGGCCCAGAGTTCAAGCCCCACGACCAACCAAAAAAAAAAGCCAAAAGAGATAACATGAATATTTTGAAACTCTTACTGTTGAAACTGTAAATTACCATGGTTAACATCCAACCTACTAGGTTTTTTTTGTATGTTTTTTTATTGTAAAAATACTGTACAGAGGGGCTACAATTACATGAGCAAGGTAATGAGTAATTTCCTATCGAACATTGTTGCCTCCTCCTTTGTTTTTTCCCTACCATGCCTTCCCTCCCATCTGTACTAGTTTTGCTTAGTTATTTTTCTGACATTATGAAAATCAATGTGCTAGAGTTAATTCCACATAGGAATTTTTGGTAGAAAAATTCTGTGATAAAGTTAATTCCATTTAAATTTGAGTATGAAATTTCAGTTTGACAATATATTTTACTTTTTACTAATCATGCTGTATTTTCACTGTGTTCTCATATGTATAGATTCTATAATGTCTTTTATACTAGCGGACCAACACTTGTTCCGTTTTATTCTCGAATTTGAACTCAGGACCTTGCACTTGCTAGACAGGTGATCCACCACTTGAGTCATGCACCAGCCATTTTTTGTATTTTATTTTTCAGTAGGGTCTCACATTTTTTGGACTGTGATCCTTCTACCTATGTCTCTTACATAGTTGGGAATACAGACATGAACATTCTTAGCTTTTTTTTTTTTTTTTTTTTTTAACTGAAAATACCGTACAGAGGAGTTACAATGACATGGGCAAGGTAATGAGTACATTTCTTATCAAGCATTGTTGCCTCCTCCTTTGTTTCCCCTTTGCATCCCTTCCCTTCCCCTCTACCCCCCATTCCCAGCTTGTTGAGGTGAAGTCTTAATAACTTTTTTCTGGGTCTTGAGCAGATCCTCCAGATCTTTGCCTCCTGAGTAGCTATGACTGCCCCTTTTTCTCAAATGTTTTTAAATAAAATGTGTCAGTAAAATAAAATTATTTTATTCCCAGTAATTTTAGTTTATCTTCAGGATTTATTTTAGTTTCATAAGAGTTTCCATTTTGTAGTGGTAAGTTTGTAAACTTGAAAATTATTATTTTCGGGTTGGGGATTTAGCTCAGTAGAAGAGCACTTGCCTGGCAAGTACAAGGCCCTGAGTTTGATCCTCAGCTCTGGAAAAAAGTAAAAACAAAAACAACCCCTCCCCCCCAAAAAACCCTCATTATTTGACTTGTATTTGGTAAATATGTACATTTGATTATTTAACATAATATCTTTTCTTTGAAAAGTCAAGAATATAAAAAGTCTCTGCCTAATAAGTAGAATAATGTGAATGTAATTTTTCCTAATTAGTCTAACCACTGACTGGAGCTTTATTTTATTATTAAGAAATAAGAAAAACCCCAAACTTTTAACTTGTGTCATGGAAAATATAAAAATGTGACATCTTCAAAGTATTCCATAAAGTAATAAAATACACTGAATTTGGTTGAGTTTAGTGAGTGTTGCATTTGATACTAACTTCCAAAAACATCTTCCTGCCGTATCCCTGAGTTGTAAATAATCAGTTTAATTTGTAGCTTTGGACATTTATAGGCCCTAGGTAAATGTGTATGTGGGTGGGTGCTTGTATTAGTACCAGAACTTGAACTTAGGGCCTTACCCTCTTGTTCAGCTTGCTTGCTCACAACTGGCATTGTCACTTGAACCATGCCTTCAGACTTACATTTTGCCGATTAATTGTAAATGGAGTGTCAAAAACTTCTCTGCCTAGGCTGCTAAGTGTCAGCCTCCTGATTAACTAGGATTCTAGGCATGAGGCACCAACACCCAACTCCTGAATAAATTCTCTGTATGTGTGCATGAATGCAAGTGTGCGTGCATACACATGCATGCATGTGCACATGTACTGAGCCTTAAACTCAAGACCCGGGTGCTGTCTCTTAGTTTCATTGTTCAAGGCTAATGCTCTATTACTTGCTCCACAGTTCCACTGCTGCTTTTGTGTGGGGGTGATGGTGGGGTGGGGGATGTTTATTGGAAGATAACGGAGTCACATTTTCCTATCCTGCCCTGTGGCTTCAAACGTTAATCCTCAGATCTCAGCATTCTGAGTAGTTAGGATCATGTGAGCCATTGGCACTGGCTCCTTAATAAATTCTTATGCGTAGTAGAGGTAGGGAACTTTTTTTCTGCCAAGATGCATTTGAATAGTATAACATCATTCACAGGCCATACAAAGTTATTATCACAGGCAAAGGCTTCGGGAACTAATGAAAAGCACTTGAGAAGCCTGCTTGTCTGTCCTGTCAGGTACCAGATGATTTTGCTGACTTTATGTGACATACCGGCCAATTGTTCCCCAGCCCTTATCAAATTATAGGGCCTTTGTCATCTTTGTTGTGTTTTTATGCAACTATATGTAGCTATCTGAATGCTATATAAAACAGAATTAGAAGAGTTGATATATTTGAAAGTATTTAACTCCGTTTTCCATGATTAAACTTGGAAAGATCATAAAGGTTTTCTGAGATTTATTCATGAATTTATGCAACTACAAGTATGAAATTAAATATCAACATATCCAAAAAATTCAAACTATTTTTAAGTACTACTTTTTAATTTATTTTTGAGGGGCTGGGAATGTGGTTTAGTGGTAAAATGCTTGCCTAGCATGCATGAAGCCCTGGGTTCGATTCCTTTGTAGCACATGAACAGAAAAAAAGCCTGAAGTGGTGCTGTGGCTCAAGTGGTAGAACACTAGCCTTGAGCCAAAGAAGTTTAGAGACCAGGCCCTGAGTTCAAGCTCCATGACAGGCAAAAAAAATAATAATAATTTGTTTTTTGAACTCTGAGCATCAGGCAGAACAGTTTTTCCAGCACCTCTGCTCTGAGTAGTTTAAGCATTCGATTTAATCCATAAATTATTCACTTAGATTATCAAAATAGTAAACTGGCAACATAAAATCAGACGTACTTGGCTTTTGCTTTATGTGTGATATTTTTATTTTTGTCTTAGCCCCCACAGCATAGCAAATATAAAACCTATATGTGTCGAGATATGAAGCAGAGAGGAGGGTGCCCTCGGGGTGCCAGCTGTACATTCGCACACTCACAAGAGGAACTGGAAAAGTAAGTGTAAAAATTATGAGATTGAACCTTTGGAATAAGGTATAAGTAGAATAATTTGTTGACTGTGAAATACAAAAAGAATAGTTGCATTCTCTTCAATGAATAGGACATTTTTACAACTAATACATTTTTTTTAAGTTTCTTTGGCTTTTATTACATTGTTCTGATTAGACTTGTATTACATTATTCTGGAAACTTATAATTAACAATTCTCAACATGAGGCATTTTTCACTACCAAAAAATCCTAAATTTGTAGTGAATTTTATCAATTTTAAGTTTTTATTAATGTATTTATTAAAGGGCCTAGCAGTTGTAAATTGTTTGTTTTCATTGTTCAGGATGCGAATACTGGAATTTGATGGCCCTAGTTATTTTGGGCTTTTTGGTTTTCCTTCTGTTAGATTTAGAATAGGTGTGCTTTCTTTTACAATAGCATCTGTTTAAATTTGGTCATTGTGTTATATTGTTTGTATTCACCTGCTTTTAAAATAACTTCAACTGTCATTGAACTTAGGATGGTGGCATTTATTGCCATGCCTAGGTTATTCTTTTGTTTATTTTTTTGCTGGTACATACTGGTTTGAACTTAGGGCTTCCTACTTGATCAACTTGCTTGTTCATCTGAGGTGCTACCACTTGAGCCACATTTCCAGCCCTGCTTTTTGATTATTTTGGAGATAGAGTATCAAAGCTATATCCATATTCTCTGATCTCAGCTTTCTCCATAGCTAGAATTATGGGTATGAGTTATTTGAGCTTGGCTTATTCTTAATTTTTAATTATCCTTGGAATACTTTTTAGAAAAAGTAAAATATTTCAGGCTGTCTTCATGATTTTGCAACCATTCCTCAAATAAGTTCTAGAAATTAGAATTTCAACAAATCTTAAAATAAAAATACTACTAACATGATTAGTAATGTTATGCTGATTAAATCACAAAATTCATTGCTGCTTGAGATTTGATACAAAATACACACATATAGTTCTCAGGTTGATGGAGCCATTGGGTTTGGTTTTTTTTCTTTTCCTCACTCTTCTTTTTGAATAGGACTTGTGATTTGAACTTAGGGCCTTGCACCAACTAGGCTGGCACATACTGCTGAGCTCCACTTTCCACCATAGTTTTGGAGTAGGGTCTTGGTTCTTACCTAGGCAAGAATTTCTAGAAAATAATATTAAGTACACTTTATTTCTTGGATTTTCTTATTTCCTTTTAATCATTATTATAAAGGTGATGTACAGAGGGGTCAGTTTCATAAGTCAGGTAATGAGTACGTTTCTTTTTGGACCATGTCACCCCTTCCTTTGCTCTCTCCCAGTTTTCTTCCCTGTCTCCACCCTCAAGTATAGTTCTTTCTTTCTTTCTCTTTCTCTCTCTCTTTCTCTTTTTCTCTTTCTCTCTTTCTCTTTCTCTCTCTTTTTCTCTTTTCTTTCTTTCTTTCTTTCTTTCTTTCTTTCTTTCTTTCTTTCTTTCTTTCTTTCTTTCTTTCTTTCTTTCTTTCTTTCTTTCTTTCTTTCTTTCTTTCTTTTCTTTCTTTCTTTCTTTCTTCTGTTCCTTTCGTTCCTTTCTTTCTTTCTTGTGGTGGTCGTGGAGCTTAAACTCAGGGCTTGGGCACTGTCCCTGAGCTCTTTTGCTCAAGGCTAGCCCTCTACTACTTTGAGCCACAGGGCCACTTCTGGTTTCTTGGTGGTTAAATGGAGATAAAAAGTCTCAGAGACTTTTCCTGCCCTGGCTGGATTTGAACGGTGATCCTCAGACCTCAGCCTTCTGAGTTGCTAAGATTACAGGCGTGAGCCACCAGTGCCTGGCTATAGTTCATTTTCAACACAGTGTCTAGTGAGGACCACTGCTGCATTGATTCACCCTTTGTCCACCCATTTCTGTGTCTCCCCTTATACTTCCAAAGACAGATAAATGAATAAAAAAGACAAAAAGAAGACAAAAACAACAACAAAGAAAAAACTTTTTCTATTTCCTCGAGTTCATATAATATTTTATATGATCAGTGGTACATAGGCTTTTTTTTTTTGGAGGGTCTGGTCGTGGAGCATGAATTCTGGGCCTGGGCGCTGTCCCTCAGCTCTTCAGCTCAAGGCTAGCGCTCTACCACTTGAGCCACAGCACCACTTTGGCTTTTTGCTTTTTGCTTATGTGATGCTGAGGAATTGAATCCAGGGCCTCAGGCATGCAAGGCTAGCGCTCTACCACTGAGCCACCTTCCCAGCCCCTACGTAGGCATTTTACCTTTGTGTTTCTCCCTTAAGAGTATCTTCCTTTGGTCTCATTATGTATGAATGCCTTGTAAAATTACATTGTGTACTGGTACCATATTTTTGATTCCCTCATCTATTATAGGACATCTAGACTGTTTATACAACTTGGCTATTATGAATAGTGCAGCAGTGAACATGGATATGCAAGTCTTGTTACAGTATCTTGGCTTGTGAGGTTCAGGGTAGATGGCCAGGAGTGGTATGGCTAGGTTGTCGGAGAAGATCTGTGTTTAATTTTTTGAGGAACCTCCAGACTGCTGTCCAGACTGGTTGTATTAGTTTGCATTCCACCAGTAGTACAATATGGTTCCTTTTTTCCCCCACATCCCTGCCAACATTTGTTATTCAAATTTATAATGTTGGCTGATCTTACCGAGGTGAGATGGAATCTCAAAAGGTTTGTTTTATTTGCATCTTTTATGGCCAGAAATGTTAAACATTTCCTCATGTGTTTGTCAGACCTTCTTACCTCTTCTAAGAAGTCTCTCCTTAACTCCTTTGCACATTTAGTAATTGGTTTATTAGCTGAGAGGTGTTAATTTCTTGAGCTTCTTGTTTATTCTGGATGTTAGTCTTTTTTTTAGGGGTCCGGTCGTGGGGTCTGAACTCTGGGCCTGGGCGCTGTCCCTCAGCTCTTCAGCTCAAGGCTAGCACTCTACCACTTGAGCCATAGCGCCACTTCCGGCTTTTTTGCTTATGTGGTGCTGAGGAATCGAACCCAGGTCCTCGAGCATGCAAGGCAAGTGCTCTACCACTGAGCCACCTTCCCAGCCCTGGATGTTAGTCCTTTGTCAAATGTATTGCTGGTAAAAATCTATTGGCTATCTTTCTAGTTTAGAAACTGTGTCCTTTTTATTTTGATATAATCCCATTTGTAAAGTCTCTCTACTATTTGTTGTGCCCCTGGGACTTTCCAAAAAGTTTCTGCCTATGCCTCTGAGTTCTAGTGTTTCTCCTACTTCCTCTTGCTATAATTCAGTTTTGGAAATGTCATTGAAGTCTTTGATCCACTTTGAGTTGATATTTGTGCATGGTATCTGCATATGGATGATCAGTTTTCCCAACACCAATTATTGGAAGGCTTTCTCTTTTCCACCATAATCTTTGGCTCCCTTCTCAAATACCAGTTAACTGTATTTATATGGTTTTATTTCTCAGTCTTCTAGTCTGTTCCATTGATCTTTTAGATCAAAAGCTTGGCTTTTCTTTTATATTTAGTTCTTGCCTTTGCTTTTTTCTCTTTTTTAATATAGATTTCGTAAAATGAACAAACGTCTGATTCCCAGAAAACTCTTGAGTGCCTCTTTGGGTCAACTTAATGAGGTGGGGCTGCCTTCGACAGCAATGCTTCCAGATGAAGGTGCAGTGGATCTTCCTAGCAGGAAACCCTCCGCTCTGCCAAATGGAATTGTATCATCAGGGAATGCAGTAACACAGCTGATTCCACGTGGGACAGATGCCAGCTATGATTCTAGTCTGAAACCTGGAAAGATAGATCATCTGAGCAGTAGTGCTCCTGGATCCCCTCCTGATGTGTATGTCATTTTTCGTGAGTTTTAACTGTTTTTTTTTGTTGTTGTTTTTTGTTTTGTCTTTTCTTTTCTGGTACTGGGGATCGATTGCACTTAATAGGCAAGCGCTTTGCCACTGAGGTACATCCCAGCCTGTTTCCTGAGTTTTAAAGTTACTTCTTTGTAAACACAAGTAGAAGGAAGGAGAAAAAAAAACTTGGTATTTTTGTCTTTATTTTGTTGCTTTTACTTTGATTTTGCAGATTAGTGATTTTTAAGAAACAGTTATCATTGGTTAAAAGAAAAAAAAGATTTGTCTTTGCAGAATCTCTCTCGCTTTTTGTTTTTGGTTTTGTGACGAAAGTGCTGGGGCTTAGCTACAGGGTCTGGATGCTGTTTCTGAGCTGCTACTTTTCCTCAAGGCTAGCACTGTACCACTTGAGCCACACGTCCACTTCTGGCTTTTTGGTGGTTAATTGGAGGTCCTGCCTGGGCTGGATTTGAACCATAGTCCTCAAATCTCAGTTTCCTGAGTAGCTAGGATTACAGGCATTAGCCACCAGTGCTAATAATTGCATTTTTTGTAGAAAAGATTGACTGACAGAATAAATTAGTTTTCAAAATATTTTTCCAATATTTTTCACATGAAATAATTTATGTGTAAGTATCTTAACCAGGCATCAATAGCCCATACCTGTAATCCTAGATACTCAGGAGGCTGAGATCTGAGCACTGTTGTTCAAAGCTAACCAAGCAGAAACGTCTGTGAGACTTTTATCTCCAGTTAACCACCAGAGAGCTGAAAGTGGAGCTGTGGCTCAAGTGATAGAGCACTAGCCGTAAGCAACATATTTCAGAGACAGTGCCCAAGCCCTGAGTTCAGATCCCAGGACCAGCACACAAATAAACATATTTTAGAGAACTTAAACTTGCCTTGCGTTATCTTAATCCTTAGGCTGGAATCTGTCCCTAAGAGTATTTCTGCCTTACCTGTGAATCCACATCCTATACCCTCAAGAGGGCCAGCAGACTTGCCTCCCATGCCTATCACCAAACCACTTCAGATGGTACCACGGGGTTCTCAGTTATATCCAGCACAACAGGCAGATGTTTATTATCAGGATCCTCGAGGAGCTGCACCACCATTTGAACCAGCACCTTATCAGCAGGGTAATAATCTTTCATTTTTTTCATTTACATTTTTTAAGAGGTATGAGAACTATGCAGGTAAGAGTGATTACGTACATAGTAGCTTCTTTTAAGTAAATACATTTTTAATACTTTAGATAGATCATTATGACCAACTAAATTGCTTTTTGCAATTATATAATAAATTTCTTTATATATTTATTTTTTTTTTATTTTATTTGCCATTCCTGGGGCTTGAACTCAGGGCCTGCGCGCAGTCCCTGAGCTTCCTTTGCTCAGGCTAAAACACTACCACTTGAGCCACTGCGCCACTTCTGGCCTTTTCTGTTTATGTGGCACTGAGGAATCAAACCCAGGGTTTTAGGCATGCTAGGCAAGCACTGTACCAGTAAGCCAAATTCCAGCCCTCTTCATATATTTATGTAAACAATGTCACTCATCTAAACCATTGAAATTTGCTGATTGTAAGCAGAATATATTCTGACCAGAACTTTCTACATGAATGGAAAAAAAATAGTATGTAGCTGGTAAAAATGCACAATCTATTTTTTCTTTTTAATTATCATTATTTTTCTAGGCACTATAATATATATGAACAAAATGCTACATACCTAACAAAGAATAGGAAACCATTAGGTGGTATGTGTTTGTATACACCTGTAATCTCATCACCTAGATATCAAGTAACTTACATAGTGATACACTCTCTTGAAAAGAAAACAACAAAAATAGAAAACTGTATGCATAGATAGTACATACATATGTGAAAGATTGATTGGTCAATTTTGGTAGCTAGTAATACCTTAAGAAATTGACGGTGGGACTCAAAAGAAATCATTGGAAATTTGAGGAATCAAAAGATATCATAGGACCACATGTTGGGATTACAGCAATGTAACTTGGGAGACTGTGGCAGAAGGATTGGAGGTTCTAGGCCAGCCAGGATAGTGAGAAAACTATTCCAAATAGGCGAATTTGGAGTAGAAAGATTAGCATCTAGAGTTAAGCGGGGAGTTAGAAACCTCTTAATCACTGGGCACTGGTGGCTCACACCTATAATCCTGGCTACTCAGGAGGCTCAGATCTAGGGATTGAGATTTAAAGCCAGCCTAGCAAGGAAAGTCTGTGAGACTCTTATCTCTAATAATAAACTACCCCAAAAGCTGGAAGTGGAACATGGCTTAAATGGTAGAGCACTAGCCTTCAGCAAAAGAAGCCCCAGGGACAGTGCCCCGGACCTGAGTGCAGACCCCAAGACTGGCACAAAAAATAAAAAGCTCTTAATAATCAAGGTATGATTATCCAAGCCTGGATTAGGATGATGAGAAAGGAGAAGGGATTTAGAAAACACACTCAACAAAAATTAGCCATATTTAAAGCTAATGCAATGCATGTAGAGGGAAAAAGTATCTGTGACTTAAGTTTTACATGTATAATTTATATATAAAATAAACTGAAGGATTTAAAAACTGTCAGAGGCAGTACATCTCATTTTTAATGTTTATTGATTAAAGATGTCTTCCGTTTACCTTCTTTGCAAAAGCATATCTTTTTAACTTTGAATCAGTTTCTCTATGTTCAAAAGAATGGTTTTTATTTGATACATTACTAATATATGCAAAGCAATAAAACTTGATTTTTATCTTTCCTTTTTTTGGGGGGGGGGGGGTCCGGTCATGGGGCCTGAACTCTGGGCTTGGGCAGTATCCCTCAGCTCTTCAGCTCAAGGCTAGTGCTCTACTACTTGAGCCACAGTGCCACTTCCGGCTTTTTTCTTTTTGCTTATGTGGTGCTGAGGAATTGAACCCAGAGCCTTGAGCATGCAAGGCAAGCGCTCTACCACTGAGCCACCTTCCCAGCCCGATTTTTATCTTTCTTGTGGCAATCCATTACCTGAGAAATTTCAGCTGTTTTTGTTGAGATGGCCAGTGTGTAAAACTGTATCAGTAGCAGTTCAATTGCAGATCACAAAGCAAAATGAAGCAAAGCTACATTAAGCAAAATGAAGTGTAGGATTTGGGCTACTTAAAATATTAGAAGTAGGGCTGGGAAGGTGGCTCAGTAGTAGAGTGCTTGCCTTGCATGCATAAGGCCATAGGTTCGATTCCTCAGCACCACATAAACAGAAAAAGCCAGAAGCGGTCTTACTATGGCTCAAGTGGTAAAGCATTAGCCTTGAACTTAAGCGCTGAGGGACAGTGCTCAGGCCCAGAGTTCAAGCCCCATGACTGACAAAAAATATATATATATTAGCAGTTAAAGCAGGCCCTCAGGAATGAGCTTCAGGAAAACACTATACAACTAGCCCAAAAGTTAATACATTCCAGTGATGAAACATAATTAGAAAATTCCTGTCCTGATGATCATATAAAATAATATTTTATGAACTGAGCAGTCTTTAGTTGCCATTGTTACTGTTTTTTGTTCTTTTTTCCTTTTGTATTGTTTGTTACTTTGTATTTAGGAGGGTAAGAGAGGGCACATAAAAGGTAGAACAAAAATGGACAAATATAACAGTGATACTCACCAGATACTATGTAGAAAATGAACTGGATATCTTATGGATGGGGACAGGAGGGAAAGATAGGGAGAGAGCAACTGAAGGGAAAAAATTGTACTGATTGTACCTGATTCATGTAACTGTAACCTCTCTATCAACTACACAAAAACAAGTTTTAAAAAAAAGAAAACTTCTGTCCTGCTAGTTCATGCAGAATCTAGAATCTGGAAATTGAGAAGCTACTGCCTAAGTGATATCTCAAAAACTTTAGAGCCAAATAGTAGTTACTAGATCTGCACTAGCAAAAAAAGACCTTTTGTGGGATAAAATGATGGGACCCTACCTTTCAAGCATAAAGAGCCAATCTACTATTGTAGACTATAAATAGATTGTTTTTCAATTATTTTGAAGATTCTTTTGCGGGGGAGTTAGGGAGGGTAATTGGACTAGGGTCTCAGGCTTGAACCCTGCATGTTAGGCAAGTACTGACATACACTTTTGGCCCTAACAATGGCTTTTGTTTGTTATTTCTCATAAAGTAACCTAGCTAAGGTAGAAGAAAGTTCTGAGAATATATCTAGATTATTAATATTTCAGTGTTTTAGAACTTTACAAAGAAGAAACATCCTTATATAGAAAAAATAGATTGGCTTATTATTGTTTCTGGTTCTTTTATTGCACAGGTATGTACTATACTCCACCACCACAATGTGTGTCCCGTTTTGTCCGACCTCCACCATCTGCTCCTGAACCTGGTCCTCCCTACTTGGATCATTATTCACCCTACCTCCAAGATCGTGTTGTAAACTCTCAGTATGGCACACAACCACAACAGTACCCACCTATGTATCCACCTCACTATGATGGCCGTCGAGTATACCCTGCTCAGTCTTATACAAGAGAGGAGATTTTCCGAGAAAGCCCCATACCTATTGAGATTCCACCTGCAGCAGTACCATCCTATGTACCAGAATCCAGAGAAAGATACCAGCCTGTGGAGGGTTACTATCCAGTGGCTCCTCATCCAACCCAGATCAGACCTTCATACCCCAGAGTATGCTGTATTTTTTTTTTCTTACTCCATAGACTTAATTGCTTATTGTGATGTCTTTCTGCTTTTTTTTTTTTTTACAGTAGTGTAACCCTTCACTCAGTTTTTTTTTAAGTTTTATTTTTAATCTTTCCAAAATTTGAGTAGGTTATTTATTTTTAAGACTACTAATAGAAATAAGTTTGTGTAGTTTATTTGGTTAGTTTTATTACTAATTTTATGTCTTGAGAAAATGATGATCTCTAGCCAAGAATTTACCTCTTTGGGAGATCTTGAATCTAGTTTTAGTGTTTTTTTTTTTTTCTTTTTGTTCTTTTAAGATAGGTAAACTTCTAGTTTAAAATATATGCTTAATGAATTTATGTATTCTGAAATTCTTTGTCAATTTTAACTTACCTTTCCAATTTCAGGAACCTCCATATAGTCGACTTCCTCCTCCTTCACAACCCCACCCTAGTCTAGATGAGCTACATCGAAGAAGAAAGGAAATAATGGCTCAACTAGAGGAAAGAAAAGTTATCTCTCCACCTCCTTTTGCACCTTCACCAACATTGCCTCCCACATTCCATCAAGAGGAAGTAAGCACATCATCAGTTTGTGTCCTATTTACCCATTTCAAAGTTATGAAGATCCTGTTTTCTTCCAAGGGTTAATTACTTGGTTTCACAATCAGATCTGCAATTCCTTTAGAACTGATTTTTATATAGACTATATTAGAAGTTAAAGTTGATGTTTTTTTCATAAGGATATCTTATTAGTCTACCATTTAGTGATCTGAGCATCCTTTCCTCAGTGTCATACATCAGTCTCCTTTGTCATCAACTAGCTCTCAGGAGACTAAGGCTGGAGTATCCTGAGTTCAAGGCCACCCTAAACTATGTAGTGAGACCCTCCTTAAAAAGTAGGATTATTACTAAATGTTTGTATATGTTTCTGGACTTTATTCTGTTTTATTGGTCTGTTTCTGTCTGTATACCAATGTCACATTCTCTTAATGTAGAATTAACTTTTGACATGTGTTGGTGTACATTTTCTAGTATTATTCTTCAGAATTCAATATGTTGGGGCCAGAGATTTAAATTGTTTCCTGACATATGTACAACCCTGGATTTGATTGCAACACCTTTAAGGAAGAAGGGAGGAAGGGAAGGATGGTGAGAGAGAGGGAGAAGTTGAGAGAGAATTTTGATTAGGATGCATTGAATATCTAGATTGTACTGGTCAATATTGGTAGCCATTAGCTACATGTGGATATTGTATGTATAAAATGTACAAATTCAGATGTGCTATAAACCTAAAATATATACTAGATCCAAAGATTTAGTATCAAAGAAGTAAAATATTTCATTAATATTTTTAATATATGGTATGTATTGTGTTAAATGAAATGTTATTAAAATTAATGTCACCTGTTTTTATTTTATTTTATTTTTTTGTCGTTCGTGGGGCCTGAACTCTGGGCCTCGGCACTGTCCCTCAGTTCTTCAGCTCAAGGCTAGTGCTCTACCATTTGAGCTACGACCCCACTTCCGGCTTTTTCTGTTTATGAGGTGCTAAGGAATCGAACCCAGGGCCTCATGCATTCAAGGCAAGCACTCTACCACTGAGCCACCTTCCCAGCCCCTGTTTTTATTTTTAATGCATATCAGGTATCCATGAATATGATGTATTCGTCAGTCCATTTATTTGAATGATTAAGGTGTTTTGAAACTATTTTAAATGAGAATCTCTTGAATTCTGGGCCTGGGCACTGTCCCTGAGCTCCTTTTGCTCAAGGTTAGCACTCTCCCACTTGGGCCACAGTGCCACTTCTGGCTTTTTCTGATTTATTTGGAGAGAAGAGTCTCACAGACTTTCGTGCCTAGTCTGGCTTCAAACCATGATCCTCAGATCTCAGCCTCCTGAGTAGCTAGGATTACAGGCATGAGCTACCAGTGCCTGGTTTGAAATTTTATGTTCTATTTGTTATTACGATAAGAAAAGTCTTGTTTGTTTTGGTGCTGGTACCAGGGTTTGAACTCAATGGCTTTCCCCACACTCTTGGTTTATTTGCTAATGACTGGTGTTCTGCCACCTGAACCACACCTTTTACCTCTAGCTTTTTGCTAGTTAGATTGGAGATGAGAGTCTCTCAGGTTTATCTGTCTGGGCTAGCTTCAAACCACAATCCTCAAATCTCTGCCTTCTGTGTAGCTATGATTATAGGTCTGAGGCCCCTGGTACTGAGCAGGCATCTTACCTTTTATCCTCATGATTCAACGTACAGATGAGAATATTTTCAACATATAAACTATTGGCTGGTTACAGTGGTATACTCTTGTAATCACAACAGGAAGTCAGGTCAGAGCCAGCCTAAATTACATAGAGTGACCCCCCATTTCTTTTTTTTTTTTTTCTTCTTAACTCAGAGTGACCCCATTCCTTTCCTTTTTTTTTTTTTAATGCTATTGACAGAGATATGAGTTAACGACTTGATATGTCATCATTTATTATGGACAACATTTAAAATAGTTTTTAATGTTCTTGTTTTCTCTGATGTTACTGAAAGAAACATTGGATTGAATCTAGCAATACTATGGTCTGGTGCATGTTTGCTTAAATATTGCCTTCATCTGATGTAATGATAAGGAATACAGAAACCTCCTCTCAGATCATAGCTTGAGTCATTAAAGGATAGTAAAGTGTTGTTTAAACCTGCCAGTAACAAAATCTGGAAGCTAAAATGATCATTTTTCACTTATACTTTTCATAATCTCCAAAATCTGTTTTGACACTTTGAAAGTCAAATAGCCATCATTATATTGCTTTAGTTTGATGTTCTAAGAATTTCTGTTTTCTCTGGCTTGTTATTCAGAGACCCATTTCTTATTTTATTATTTTGTTTTTTTTTTTCTCCATCTATAGTTTTTGGATGAAGAATTGAAAGTAGCTGGGAAATACAAAGGAAATGACTATAGCCAATACTCTCCTTGGTCATGTGATACCATCGGCTCCTACATTGGAACCAAAGATGTAAAACCCAAAGATGTTATGGCAGCAGGGAGTGTGGAAATGATGGTATGTGTAATGGCTAACTCATAAATTAATACAAATTAAGATAAATTTGTACTCATTATAGTTTAGGCCATTAATAATTAAGCTTTTCTTGAAAGTTTCAGACCACAGTATATACTTAGCATTTGAATTGTATTAAACTATACAGTTCTTTTTTTCATTCAGACATAAGTCTTTTTATATTATCTATACAGAGAAGAGCATTTCTTATATTTCTGAACAATTTCCCAACAGTTATGACCCAACTGGAATTATTTTATGTGTTTTTTTTTTTTTTTTTGCCCAGTCATGGGGCCTGATCTCTGGGCCTGGGCGCTGTCCCTCAGCTCTTCAGCTTAAGGCTAGCGCTCTACCACTTGAGCCACAGCGCCACTTCCGGCTTTTTTCTTTTTGCTTATGTGGTGCTAAGGAATCGAACCCAGGGCCTCATGCATGCAAGGCAAGCGCTCTAACACTGAGCCACCTTCCCAGCCCTGGAATTATTTTATATAATTAATGAGATCTTAGATTTCTTTGCCAGGTATACTATAAGTTTGAAGTTAAAACAACAAAGTTGAATCTAGTGAAGATATATTTCTTGAATCATGCTTGTTAGCTGCTTACTACAAATAAGCTATATAAGATGCTGAAATATATTGTCCTCTTAGGGTTTTTTGTTTGTTTTTGTCAGTCATGGGACTTGAACTTAGGGCCTTGGCACTATCCCTGAGTTGTTTTGCTCAAGGCTAACACTCCACCACTTTGAGCCACAGCTCTACTTCTGGATTTTAAGTGCTTTATTGGAGATAGAGTCTCAAAGACTTTTCTGCCGAGGCTGGCTTCAAACTGATCCTCAGATATCAGCCTCTGAGTAGCTAGGAGTACAGGCATGAGCCACCAGCGCTCAGCTGACATTGTTTTGGTTTGGTTTGGTTTGGTTTTTATTGTAAAGAGGGGTTACAGTTTTATAAGTCAGGTAATGAGTGCATTTTGTTTTGAACAGTGTCACCTCTTCCCTCGTTTTCTCCTAGTTTTTCCCCACAAGTTACATAGTTTGTTTTCAACATAGTGTCTAGTGAGTATCACTGCTGCATTAGGTCCTGTGCTTCCTTACCCTCCCCAAAACAGATAACTTATATACAAGACAAAAAATACAGAAATCAAAAACAGCAACAAAGAGGGATGGAGGGAAGGTAAAATAACAAAAACCTTTTGTTTCCATTTCTTGGAGTTCACTTTGATAAACACCATTTTATATGGTCATATTCACATAGCTAGTAAGCCTTTGTGATCCTCTCCTAAGAATATCCTCCTTTGGTCTTACTGTATAAATGTTGAGTCCTATTTAGTTTATCATGCTCAAGTGTAATTTTTTTTTCTTTTATCATCCATTGTGTTTGTTTACTTATAGATTTATAATAACTACAGATGAGGGAAACCATGTTTCTTTGGCTCTGGATTATTTTGCTTGATACAATTTTTTTTCCAAATCTTTCAATTTCCTTACAAATGAGGCAATACCATGCTTTCTAATGGAAGCATAGAACTCCATTGTGTGTACATATCACATTTTCTTGATCCATTTGTCCTCTGAGGGGCATCTGGGCTGATCCATATCGTGGCTATGGTAAACCAGCCTGTAATAAACATAGTTGTGCTGGTAGCTTTAGTGTGGCCTGGTTTGTGGTCAATTGGATAAATGCCTAGGAGTGAAATTACTGGGTCATAGGGAAGCTCTGTGTTTAGCTTTTTGAGAAACCTACGTATTGCTTTCCAGAGTGATTGAACAAGTTTACAGTCCCACCAACAGTGTAGTGGTATTCTTGTTTGGCCATATCCTCACCAGCATCTGATATTGTTAAGGTTTTTTTTGTTGTTGTTGTTTTAATAATGGCTATTCTAACTAGGGTGAGATGGAATCTCAATGTTGCTATGATTAGCATTTCTTTTATGGCCAGAGATGTTGAACATTTCTTTATATGTCTGTTAGCCATTTTTATTTCTTCTGAGAAGTCTCTCTTTAAGTCTTTAGCCCATTTATTAATTGGGTTGTTTCTTTGAGGATTTGTTTTTGAGGATTTACTTTTTTAGCTCTAAGTATATTTAGGATATAAGGCCCTTGTCTGATGCATAGCTAGTAAAAATCTCCCATTCTGTGGACTTTCTATTTATCTTGCTAGCTATGTCATTTGCCATACAGAAACTCTTCCGTTTGATACAATCCCGTTTATCCCGTCTTTCTTAGATTTGTTGTAATTCTGGATCTTTGGAAATTTCGACGTGTGCCTAGAAACCTTAGTGATTCCCCTATCCTTTCCTGTAATATTTTTATGGTATCTGGCCTTACATTGAGGTCTTTGATCCATTTGGAATTGGTTCTGTTGCAGGGTGATATATTAGGATCTAGCTTCAGTTTTCTGCAGTCAGTTTCAGACAATTCTGCCAACAACATTTGTTGAAGAGGCTGTCTTTCTTCCATTCTGTGTTTTTGGCTCCTTTATAAAGTATTGGGTGGCTATAGGTCTGTTGTTGGTTCGTTTCTGGGTCTTCTGTCCCATTGGTCCTCAGGCCTATTGTTATGTCAGTACTAAGCTGTTTTATTACTGAAGCTTTATAGTAGAGTTTGAAGTTTAGTATTGTCATTCGTCCAGAACTGTTCTTCTTGTTAAGGATTGTTTCTGATATTTGGGATCTTCTCTTATTTCATATGAATGTTTGGGTTGCTTTTTCTATATCATTGAAGAATGTTGTTGGGTATTGCACTGAATTTGTAGATAGCTTTGGGCAGTATTGTCTTTTTCATGATCTTAGTCCTTCCAGTACAGAAACATGGGAGATTTTTTCATGTTCTTAAATCTGCTTTAATTTTCTTTTTTCAGATTTTTTTCAAGTTTTCATATCTTTGAATCCTAGGGGTTTTGTTGTTGTTGTTGTTGTTTAAAACTATTACAAATGGAGTTACTTTCCTGATTTCAGTCTCATTGTTGGTATACAGAAAAGCTGATGATTTTTGTGGGTTAATTATATGCCCTGCTACTTTGCCAAACTTTTAGATAAGCTCAAATAACTTGGGGGGAAGAATCTGTAGGGTTCCTTAAATATAGGATCATGTCATCTGCAAAGAGGCATAGTTTTACTGCATCTTTCCCTGTTTGGATCTCCTTTGTTTTTTTCTGCCTTATTGCTCCTTTTCTGTACCACAATACCCCTCTCCAAACAAAGTGAAGGTGTATATTGACAACAGAATAGATGACATAGAAGGCAGAGTCTCAGGAATCCAAGACAGATTAAATATTATAGAGAAAGAGGAGACTTTTATCCAGAACAAATCCAAGAGACAAAGGAGCTTGCAAGAACTTCAGGACTCAATCAGAAGACCTAATTTAAGACTGATAGATACTGAAGAAGATGAACAGGGGGAAGTGGGGGGAGGATGGGAAGGGATGGGAAGGGGAAACAAAGGAGGAGGCTACAATGCTTGATAAGAAATGTACTCATTATCTTGCCCATGTAATTGTAACCCCTCTGTACAGTATTTTCACAATAAAAATTTTAAAAAAAGAAGATGAACAGAAAGCATCTAATGGGATATCTTAACAGTTTAACAGAATTCTAGCAGACAACTTCCTGAACATCCAAAACGATAGGCCCATTCAGGCACAAGAAGCCTTTACAACTCCAAACAGACCAGGCCAGAAAATAACATCCCACCAACACATTGTGGTCTGCACAGGATCAATAGAGACCAAAGAAAGGATCTTTAAAGCTGTGAGAGAGAAAAGATTGATTACATATAATTGAAAACCAATCAGAATAACTACAGATTTCTCAGTCAAGACCATGAAAGCAAGGAGAACCTGGAATGAATACTGTACCTGGCAGAGCTCTCCTTCATAACCAAAGGACAAATAAAAACAACATAATGAAGAAAAATTGAGCCAGTGCCAGTGGCTCATGCCAGTAATCCTAGCTACTCAGAAGGCTGAGATCTGAGGATCATGTTTCAAAGCTAGCCCAGGCAGGAAAGTTTGTGAGACCCTTAACTACCAGAAAACCAGAAGTGGCACTGTGGCTCAAGTGGTAGAGCACTTGCCTTGTGCTGAGTTGCTGAGGTATAGCTCCCAGACCTGGAATTCAAGCTCCATAACCGACCAAAAAAAAAAGGAAAAGAAAAGAAAAATTGAAAACAATTTATCTCCACCAAACCAACACTAGAGAAGATACTCTAAAGGTGTTCTACATGTAGAAAACCAACAAGAACATGATATTGGCAGAGAAAATGCCACTTACCAGAGAAACAGATAATATAGCAAGAAAAGATGAGGCAAAGCCCCTAAGAAGATGGATAACATGGCAGGAGATACCAAACACTTCTCAGTTCTAATTCAATATTAATAGATGTAATTCTCCAATTAACAGCAAAATCTATCCATCTGTTTTCTTCAAGAGATAACATGTTGCCAACAAAAACGTAGTCTCAAGATGAAAGGCTAGAATAAAATCTTTCAAGCAAATGGCTCCCATAAGCAGGCTGAAGTAGCGATATCAGATATACTTCAAATTAAAATTAGTGTTGGGCGCCAGTGGCGCAAGCCTATAATCCTAGCCACTAGGAGGCTGAGCTCTGAGGATCACAGTTCAAAGCCAGCCCAGGCAACTCCATGAGACTCTTATCTCCGACAAACCAGAAAACTAGAAATGGTACTATGGTTTGAGAGGTAGAGTGCTAGCCGTGAGCTGAAGAGCTGAGGGACAGCATCCAGGCCCAGAGTTCAAGCCCCGTGACTGGGAAAATAAAATAAAATAGTGAGACGGGACAAAGAAGGACGTGACATACTAATAATGGAGTTTGTTTTTTAGTGAAGAGAAATAATAATACCAATGCTATCTAGTAATCCAGGCTTAAAGTATATCAGTATGCTATGTATTATTTACCTTTATATTTTTAAAAGAAATACAATATTCTCCTTTCTTTCCTGTCTAATCTCTCTTTTTTTTTTTTTTCTGCCAGTCTCAGGGCTTGAACTCAGGACCTGGACACTGTCCCTGAGCTTCTTTTGCTCAAGGCTAGCACTCTACCACTTGAGCCACAAGTGCCACTTCTGGCTTTTTTTTTTTATGTGGTACTGAGGAATCGAACCCAGGGCTTCATGCATGTTAGGCAAGCACTCTACCACTAGGCCATATTCCTAGCCCCCCTCTAATCTCTATCTTAAATGTAATGACACTGAATTTCACTGTGCCTCCCTCGGTGACCTGAAACGTCTGTGCACAAATGATCTCCTACCTTTCACTGTGTAGTCCACTTTGTCTTCATAGTCATAATCTCATTAGAGCCATGAATGGTTACCACACCCAACTTCATGCTGCTGTCAAGCAATGTTGTATTGCCTATTTATAAACTTCATATAAATTGTATACTTTAACTTGCATTTTACTCAGCATTGTCTGAGATATATCTATATTTGTACATTTATTTAGCTCCATTTATTTAGCTCATTGACATTAACTGCTATTATCAAAAACAGAATATGAATTACACAGTATATTATTTTCATATAACATGTATTCACTTTTATTAACAAATTATTAGGGCTCTTTTCACCATTATGTACAGTGTTATAATGAACATTTTTCAGGTCTCCCTTATGCACATGCATGCAAGTTATACCTGGAAGTGATATTGCTGGTCAGGCTCTGTGGAACATGCCTGTATTCCCAGCATTTGGGAAGTACTGTCAGGAGAATTTTGAGTTCCAGGCCAGAATGACTTGCATAGTGAGACCCTGTGAGCCAGAAAAATAAAAGAAAGTAAAATATGCTTTGAAATGATTCTTAACCTTTACCATTGTTAATTCTAAAAACAAGTCTGGACTGGGAGTATAGCTCATGCTTGACTAGCACACTGTGAGGCTCTGGGTTCAATCCCTGGGACCATACCAGCCTTTTTACTAGAATGAGATGAGGAGATAAGATTATATGGGAACCCTGGCCTTGTACTTGGTTTACAGAAAGGGTACATTAAAATAACATAAGAAGGGGGGACAGCGGGGGAGAGATGAGAAGGGATGGTAAGGGGAAACAAAGGAGGAGGCAACAATGTTTGATAAGACATGTACTCATTACCTTGATCATGTAATTATAACCCCTCTGTATGGTATTTTCACAATTAAAAAAAATAAATAACATAAGTAATAGTAAATAGAATTAATTACCTTAAACCCCTAAAGAACAAAGATTTTAGCACAGTCTAGATATAGTTAAGCTCCTGAATAGGTGGTGAAAGAAGTCTAACCTAGGATTTTTCAAATGTTAATATGCACACAAGCTCTCTATGGATCTGTATATGTATGTATGCATAGCATGTATCTTTCTATCTATGTATTTATCTATAGCTACCTGTGCTTATATTCAATAATTAAAATATATTTCTTACAATGAATGGTCAGTGGTTTAAAAAAATACTTTATATGACAACCAACAACTAATGTAGACTGCTTGTTTGCTTCTTTATCAGAATTTGGAAAGTAAAGGTATGAGAGACCAGCGATTAGATTTTCAGAGACGAGCAGTAGAAAGCAGTGATGATGACCTCATTCCATTTGGAGATCGACCAACAGTATCTCGGTTTGGTGCCATCTCTCGAACTTCCAAAACAATATATCAAGGTGCTGGCCCAATACAGGCTATGGCACCTCAGGGAGCTCCCACAAAATCTATTAACATTTCAGGTAAGAATCTTAGAATTAAGCTGATTTAGAAGGTTCTTATTTGTGCCTCCCAATAAAACCTTTCTTCCTCATTATCAATTCTTTCAAGAATCTTCCAACGCAGAGTGGGATGTGGTGGTATACATCTGTACAAGCTACTCAGGAAGTGGACACAAAAGTATCACAAATTTGCTTCTGCCTTGAGCAAAATTTGACTTGAAACTTAAAGTCAAAAACAAAATACAAAGCAGGGTACCAGTGGCTTTTGCCTGTAATCATAGCTAGTCAAGAAACTAAGATTGAGAGGATTAAGGTTTGAAGCTAGCCCAAGAAACTTTTATCTCCAAAACTGGAAGCAATGGCTGAAGTGGTAGAGAGCCACGTTTTATAAACTTTCAGAGGTAAAAAACAGGACATATATATGAAAAAGTGAGAATAATGTTGAACTTCTAGGCAGAATTCTGATGGCCTACAAGATTGCCTATCACAAACAGAAAATAAAAGGGCTATAGGCAAAAAAGCATGAAAAAGTACGGCAGTGGAGCGCACCAGCTGCACCAGACATTTATGAAAGTGATCTGTGCAACTCATGGGTGGAGATGAGAGAGAGGGAATGGGAGAGAATGAGGAAACAGATGACACTGTGCAAAAGAAAATGTACTTATTTCTAGATGTACGTAAAAGTAACCCTACTGTATATCACCTCTAAAACAACAATAAAGTAAATTGAAAAGGGTGCGGCGGTAGGAGGGAGATGTGAGTATAAGTAGAAAAGTGCTTGCCTAGCATGTGGGAAGCCTTGAGTTTTGCTCTACCCAAAAATACTATTAGGTAATAGGAAGAAAAAAATCACATAAGGCAGTAACTTCCAAGCCTTTTCTTACAAGAAAGGTAAATATAACCCAGAGAAATATTAGGAGTTAAAAACTAAAATGTCAATGTAAAGATTTTCTGTGTTTTTTCTTTAAATAGCTTTATTACTTTATTAAAATAATACATTCTCAATATAAAATTCAAACAGGAAAAATACCACAATTGACAGTTTGGTGGGGGATGAAACAAGTATCCACTCTCTTTGTAGACATCTGTGTGTGCAGTACATGCATGCCTTTTAGGTTATGTTTCCCTTAGAAGAAGAGTCAAATCTCTGAATTATATCATGTCTCAAGAAATTACTCTCTTATAGATTACAGTCCATATGGAACCCATGGAGGCTGGGGAGGTTCTCCATATTCACCTCATCAAAACATACCTTCTCAGGGACACTTCAGTGAGAGGTACAAGTCCTACATGTTATTTGTACAAGTATTTGAAATTATTGAGTATTTTATTTTTCTGATGAGTAATGTATTCACAAAAGAAAACTCAAATTTTTTATTTCATGTTTTCCTTCTTACCAAAGGGAGAGAATATCCATATCAGAAGTGGCTAGTCATGGGAAACCCCTTCCATCTGCTGAGAGGGAGCAACTACGACTAGAATTGCAGCAACTGAACCATCAGATTAGTCAGCAGACCCAACTTCGTGGACTTGAGGTACCAACTTAAGAGTTCTTTATTCCAAGTGTTTGGGTGTGATTGTTTGGTTGGTTGGTTCTGAGGAGGTTTTGTTTCGTTTTTTTCTTTTGAGACAGGGTCTTGCTATATTACTCCAGGAGACTAAGAATTCACATTCTTCTTACCTTTACCTGCTCAGGACTGCCCAGTTATTGTTTGATCCCAGGCTACCCTCAAACTCAGGATCCTCCTGCCTCTGCCTCCTGAGTACAGACGCATTCAGCTTTCTTGTGCGAAGTTTTAAAGTGTTCTCAGAAGGTTTTGTTTTTTTTTAATTTTGTTTGTTGGGGTTTTTTGGGGCTGTACTGTGGATCCAACACACACAGAAAGGAACTCTTTAACACTAAGCTACATCTCCAGCACCTTTAATGAAGGAATTTTTGAAAGTTACTAATAGGTATCTGTTCTTCAAAGAATTTAGTAATGACTTCAATTCTGAGAAAACAGGTAACCATTATTATTTGAAAATATAAAACAGATTATCTAAAATGTTTTGATACGAACTTGTAGTCCTGATGCTACTTTTCAGTTTAAGGTAAATAGTTCTTATCAGTGAATGATTTTAGCTTAAATTTTTTTAACTATTTTTTTTTTTTTGTCTTTTCTTTTCTGGTACTGGGGATTGAACCCAGGACATTGCACTTGCAAGATAAGCCACTGAGCTACACCCCAGCCCTTAAATTTTTTATTTTGTTTGTTTCTTGTATTTCCTTTACTCGTCAGCTTATATATAAGTAATTAAAAAACAGAAGCTTAGCCAGGCATCAGTGGCTCGTGCCGTAATTCTTGTTACTCAGAAGGGTATGAGGATCCTGGTTTAACTAGCCTGGCTAGGAAGCTCTTCTCTCCAATTAACTACTCCTCTCCCCCCACCCCCACCCCACCAAAAAAAAAAAAAAGGCCAGAAGTGAGCACTCAGTGGAAGAATACTTTTGAGCACGAAAACTCAGGGATTGTGCCCAAGCCCAGAGTTCAAGCCCCACGACCAACAAAAAAGAAAACATGATCCATATGTAATATGAATAATAGTTGTATCCCTGATAGTTACGTTAGGCAGGTGATATTGTCACATCCCCCACCTTCCTTTTTTTTTTTTTAAGGTGCTAGAGTTTCCTATGACCTCTCACCTGCTAGGCAAGTGCTCTGTCACACTAAGCTGTATCTACCATCCTTGTACCCTTTCTTTATGATTGTATATGAGTTTTTCCTATCCTGATGGCACATACCTGTAATCCCAGCACTTAGAGGGTCTAATTCAGTGGGTTAATGAGGTAAGGCCAGCCTGGGTTACATTGTGAGACTTCAAAAAAAAACAAACAAAGGTACATTGCTTACGTCAGTAAGATTCAGATCTTTGTTCCCATAATAAGGTATATTACTCAACTTTGAAGTCATGGCTTTTTACATCACTGTAGTCATGGAGGTAGGATGTCTTTGTGGTTCCGTTGGCTGTCAGCAAGGCAAAAAGAATTACTCATACAGGAGCCTGGGGTGTGCAAAAATCAAGGCTGTTGCTCAGCCTAATGCAAAGAAAGTAGAGGTGTCTCACTGTCAAGTTGTGTAGATTAGTGAAGAATTAGGAACAAGCTAATTGTTTGAGCTTACCTTTCCATGCACTTTTGAGAACTGTACTATTTATTTAATTTTTTAATGTGTATGCTAATATGGGGGCTTGAACTCAGAGTCTTGTACTCTTTTGCTTGGCTTTTTCTGCTCAAGGTTGACACTCCATCACTTGAGCCATAGCTCCACTTCTGACTTTTTGCTGGTTTGTTGGAGTTAAGAGTTTCAGGAATGTTTCTGTGCTAGCTGGCTTCAAATCTCTCTCCGCAGATATCAACTTCCTGAGTAATTAGGATTACAAGCATCAGCCACCAGTGTGCATACTGAGTGCAGTTTTAGAGTTGGCAGCAACAGCACAGCCTTATGAGGAAACTATCCCAAGAAGATAGTTAGTCACAGAAATCAGATTTGGATTCTGAAAAATAAAGCTTCCATATTTCATGTAGAAGCATGTTCACCTTGTATATCTTAAGAGAGCCACGTGGTATGTCTGATAGGTTTTTTGTGTGTGGGGGTTTTTTGTGTGTGTGTATGTGCCAGAATTGAGGCTTGAACTTGGGTCCTGGACCCTGTCCCTGAGGTCTTTCATTCTACCGCTTGAGCCACCAGCTCTACCTCTGGCTTTTTTGGGTTAATTAAAGATAAGAGTCTCTTGGATTTTTTTCCTGCCCAGGCTAGCTTTGAACTGTGATTCTCAGATCTCAGTCTCCTAGGACTCCTAGCTAGGACTATAGGCTTGAGCCACCAGTGCTCAGTTACAAAATTTTTTTTTGTCAGTCCGAGTACTTGAACTCAGGGCCTGGGTGCTATCCCTGAGCCTCTTTGTGCTCAAGGCTAACACTACCACTTGAGCCACAGTACTGCTTCCAGTTTTTGAGTGTTTAATTAGAGGTAAGTCTCACTGGGACTTTTAAGTCTGGGCTGGCTCTGAACTGCAGTCGTTAGATCTCAGCCTCCTGAGTATCAGCTAGGATTATACCTATAATCGGTGCCTGGCTTATAATTGACTTTCAAATAAAAAAAGTAATTCATGCCTAAGATGAAAGTATTCTCCAAGGGGCTGGGAAGGTGGCTCAGTGGTAGAGCACTTGCCTTGCATGCCTGAGGCCCTGGGTTCAATTCCTCAGCACCACATAAGCAAAAAGAAAAAAAAAAAAAAAAGAAAGTATTCTCCAAATTTAAATTCTATATTTTTCTTTTTCTTTTTTCTTTTTTTTTTTTTTTTTTGTTGGTCGAGGGGCTTGAACTCTGGGCCTGAGTGCTGTCCTCAGCTCTTCAGCTCAAGGCGAGCACTCTACCAACTTGAGCTACAGCGCCACTTCCGGTTTTCTGGTGGTTTATTGGAGATAGGAGTCTCAAGGTCTTTCCTGCCTGGGCTGGCTTTGAACCAAGGTCCTCAGATCTCAGCCTCCTGGGTAGCTAGGATTACAGGCGTGAGCCACCAGTGCCCGGCTCTATATTTTTCTTTAATTCAAATGATACTCATTTTATTTTGGGTCCGGTTGTGGGGCCTGAACTCTGGTCTTGGGTGCTGTCCCTCAGCTCTTCAGCTCAAGGCTAGGGCTCTACCACTTGAGCCATAGTGCCACTTCCGGCTTTTTTCTTTTTGCTTATGTGGTGCTGAGGAATCGAACCCAGGGCCTCATGCATGCAAGGCAAGCGCTCAACCACTGAGCCACCATCCCAGCCCTCAAATGATACTCATAAAAGGGATTGTGTTTTACATTCGCATTATTTTTGTTACAAATACCTGGGGAGTAATCCTTTAAGTCACTGTGGTCTAAAATTAGAACTGGTTATTCTATGTATAGTATACACAATGTGTTGAATTGTGTTTGTGTTTGGTTTTCTGCACTAGGCTGTTAGTAACAGGCTGGTGTTACAAAGGGAGGCAAACACCTTGGCAGGCCAGCCACAACCCCTACCACCTCCAAAATGGCCTGGAATGATCTCAAGTGAGCAGCTGAGCTTAGAACTTCACCAGGTGGAGAGAGAAATTGGGAAAAGAACCCGGGAACTAAGTATGGTAAGTATTATGGTGAGAAAAGAGCTGGAAAATAAAATAAAAGTCTTTATAGCTTTAGGGTTCCAGAATTACCTGGAGCTCTTCCAAGGTACTCAGAGATTCATATTTAGAATAATTCTTAGGAAGGTATGCCTCTCTGTTGTTGTTTTTTCACTTGCCTAATTCCCATTTGGTTTTAGTGTATTTGGAAATTCTGAAGCATCTGTTTAGCATACTATATAATTAAATGGAGTGTTTATTCTTTTGCAGTATTATGATATGGAAACATGTATTTACAAAATAACATCCTAGCTTTCACACCCTTCATTGATAACTTTTTTGTTGTTTTTTTGTGCTGGTCTTTGGGCTTAAATCAAAGCCTTGGCATTGTTCCTCAGGTTTTTTGCTCAAAGCTAGTTCTTTGCCACTAGAGGAACAGCTCTAATTCCAACTTTTTGGTGGATAATTGGAGTAAGAATCTGATAGAGCTAGGCACCAGTGGCTCATGCCTGTAATCCTAGCTACTCAGGAGGCTCAGATCTGAGGATCACAGTTCAAAGCCAGTCTGGGAAGGAAAGTCTATGAAACTCCCTCCAATAAACTGCTTTAAAAAGCCAGAAGTAGCACTGTGACTTAAGTGGTAGAGCACTGGCCTTGAGCAAAAAGAACTCAGGGACAGGGCCTAGGTTCAGAGTTCCAGCTCTGCAAACGGGGGTGGGGCGGGGCGGGCGGGGGGGGGGGGGAGGAAATCTCACAGACTTTTCAGCCTAAGCTGGCTTCAAACCTCCATCTTCAGATCTCAGCCTCCTGAGTAGCATGAGCCACCAGCACCCAGCAATGACCACTTTTTGTGTGATGCAATTGACATTTTTTGAGGCATTTTTTTATGTTAGTTTGATGAATCTCCCTGTTACTTTTGTCTTTCTATAAAATTCAATAATATTTTTGAACCATTAGTTTATTTGTATTATGTGAATTTGGTCTATCCCATTAGCACTATTAAATAGAGGATAACTGGCTATGTTCTTCTCCATCAAAGGAGAACCAGTGCTCTCTGGACATGAAAAGCAAGTTGAACACAAGCAAACAAGCAGAAAATGGACAACCAGAACCCCAAAACAAAGTTCCAACCGAGGATCTTACATTGACATTCAGGTAAAGAAAGGAACACTTTTTTTTAATAGTCTTATTGAATATTACCAAACCATACCAGGAAGCATCTACAAAATGTTTGATTTTTAAAATTTTATGTTTCTGAGTATAAGGAGCAAAGAATATTTTTGCATAAATCCAGGAGTTGTAAAACTTATCTCAGGAGCAGACAGTATAGTGAGGAGCATGCTGATAATACTAGCATTCAGGCTTAGGGAGGAATTGAGACTTCAAGGCCAGCCTGTACTAAATAGGGAGACACATTCATGCATGCACGTGCGCATGCATGCACATGCACAGAAAAGGAAACCAAAAAAGTATCCAGAGCTGAATTATTTGACAGTGAATAACTTTTTTCTCCTTGTTTTATTGTTGCTCATTTTGATGTTTGGGATTACACACTCTACTACTAGGTTTTCTACTCAGCACCAACTCCTATTTGGTATGTAATAAAAGTAAGTTATAGATAATTGAAAATTTTGGAAAAAGACAAAATTAAAATGCCTTGTAAGTTGGATATGTATGGCACCTGCCTATAATCCTAGCTACTCAGGCTCTGAGATCCTAAGGATATCAGTTTGGAGTCAGTCTAGGTCGAAAAATCCATGCAACCTCATCTTCAAAATAACTAGCAAAAGGCTAGGCTGGAGGCATGGCTCAAGTAGTAGAGTGCCAGTTGAGCAAGCAAACTGAGCAAGCACAAGAACATCAGTTCAAACCCTAATGCCAGCAAAAAGAAAAAAAAAAAATAGCCAGGTGCTGGTGGCTCACACCTGTTATAATCCTAGCTACTCTGAAGGCTGAGAACTGAGGATCATGGCTTGAAGAGACTTACCTTCAATTAACTACAAAAAGCTGGAAGTGGAGCTGTGGCTCAGAGAGCAAAAGAGCTCAGAGACAACACCTAGGCCCCAAGTTAAGCCCTGTAGGGACTTGAAGGGAGGGAAGGGGAAAGACAACCTGTAATTCTGATATCCAGTGGTAACCAGTATTAATATCTTTCCTAGTTACTTGTTTTTGCAAGCCCATCTACCTACCACCCCACAGACTCTTAATTTTTAATTTGATCTATCATGTGTCATCAAGGATATATGTCAACTATCATGAACAACTCTATGAGAAATTATCGAGGCTGGGAAAGTGGCTTAGTGGTAGAGTGCTTGCTTAGCATGCATAAAGCTCTGGGTTGGATTCCTCAGTACCGCATAAACAGAAAAAGCCAGGCTGAGATGGTGGCTCAGTGGTAGAGTGCTTGCCTTGCATGCATGAGACCCTGGGTTCGATTCCCCAGCACCTCATAAGCAAAAAGAAAAAAGCTGGAAGTGGTGCTGTGGCTCAAGTGGTAGAGCGCTAGCCTTGAGCTAAAGAGCTGAGGGACAGTGCCCAGGCCCAGAGTTCAGGCCTCACGACTGGACCCAAAAACAAAAAAATAAAAAATACAAAAATAAACAGAAAAGGCCAGAAGTGGCTCTGTAACTCAAGTGGTAGAGTGCTAGCCTTGAGCAAAAGAAGCTCAGGGACAGTTCCCAAACCCTGAGTTCAAATCCCAGGACTGGCCAAAAAAAAAATTATATAAAATTCTTATTAAGCAATTTTGAGGTTAAGGTTTGGGCTATTTTAGATCCACATAATATCCTGAGTTCAAAACTATTTCCTGTATTAATAACCTACTAAATTAGAGGTCAGAATCTTTTTTTGTTTTGTTTTTGGGTCCGGTTGTGGGGCCTGAACTCTGGGCCTGGGCGCTGTCCCTCAGCTCTTCAGCTCAAGGCTAGCGCTCTACCATTGAGCCACAGCACCACTTCCGGTTCTTTTCTTTTTGCTTATGTGGTGCTGAGGAATCGAACCCAGGGCCTCAGGCATGCAAGGCAAGCACTCTACCACTGAGCCACCTTCCCAGCCCCCAGAGGTGAGAATCTTAAGCCAAGTTATAAATACTTTAAGGTATGGGCCTTGCAAACTATGTTACAACACTTAGTCTACCCTGTATAGTATAAAAGGAGGAGTAAAAAATATATAAATAAATGGACATGCTGTTAAAACTTTGTCTGTTAAAGGAGGCAACCCAGCTATATGCTAGCATGAATGAGAAGCTGTAAAGTAAAATTTGGCAGCTATTCGTATTTTTTCTTGTGTTTAGTGTTAAACCTCATTGTTTTAACAATTTTATTCTGCTAAATAAATGCTTTTTTCCTCTTTTAGAAATTCCAACTACACTTTTTTCTTTTAACAGTGATGTTCCAAATGGATCAGCCTTGACACAAGAGAATATCAGCCTCCTGTCAAACAAGACCAGCTCTTTGAACCTGTCAGAAGACCCTGAGGGAGGAGGGGATAACAATGACTCCCAGAGATCAGGAGTTACTCCCAGTTCTGCTCCCTAAAATATGGGGAGTCCTGCTTCTCTCTTCTACTCCTAATCAACTTGTGGGGATAGGAGAGAAAGAACAAATGGATAACTTCTAAACTTTTTCTCTAAAGTAGTCAGAGAAATCCAGGAAAAGCACGGAGGCAGTGTGCACAAACACCACTACTAAACACACCCTGCACATAGTTCACATTCATGCATTTTTTAATTTAAAGAAAAAGAAAATTAGCAGTATCTGCAAGCAATTCAGATTAAATTTGTTTTTGTTCTGTGAATGAACTTTATTTTAATAACTTTGGACGCCTTGGATGCAGGGCTTTAAAAAAGAAGATATTATATATACACTCTGTTTGATTAATTGTATGATCTTAATGAAATAGGTTTTTCTTGTATTTTGGTATTATTACATACCCAGTGTATAATTCCTTACCCCCTAGTCCTTTCCATCTCTCACAACCTCATAAAGACAAAATGCACCAGTATTTGTAAGAATTCTGTGGTGCTTGAAAAACAGAGACAGTAATAGATTGAGTTATTAGAAAATGTGCAGCAAACTAAATTTTATTGGCACTTGCTGTTGGAATATTTTTTCCTTTCTGAATCACTAGCTTCATGGATGGATAGAAGGGTTTTTCTTATGACATTGAAAGTTGAAGGGGCATAGTTTCAGCTTTCTAGAGATATGTAATGATTTATTTTTAGTTCCCTGTGTTAAGGCTTCTTTGCATTCTTTTATGTAATCAGAAAGCCTAGTCTGTATTTGCATTGTTTGATTATTTAAGAATGAACTATAACTTGTTAACATTAAAAATACACATTGATGTATTCTCTGTGTTTCGCTCATGGTTGAAAATTTGAAATTGTGCTTTACAAATTAAACTTTTACTGAAATACTGAAATGCCCCAAACTAGGACAATCAACCATGTTTAAAACTGTAAAATATGAACTACCTGAATTTTAAGGAGAGTGTATGAATTGATTATTTGTTGTTCCTTATAATTAGTAGCAAAAACTATAAAAACCCTAAAATCAGTTTTCACAAACTTGGCTTTCCAGCATGAAGAAAGTTTCCTTCTGAAAATAACCCAAAAAAAAGTACAGAGGATTTTTTTTAATTATTTAGTTCTGCTGCACATATTCTGATGCCATAGCTCTATATTTAACTAAGCCCATTTAAACTTGCTAAGTGGGGATTGTTTCATGTAATCACTCTCCCCTTCCCTCTGTTTATCTGATTTTTGGTTTCTCTTTCTAGATTATCTACTAAATCAGAAAGCACTGGTTATGTAATAAGTTTCTGCATTGCTTTGGTTGGGTAAAAGCAAAAGTTTATATATTTTTCTTGTTTCTTGTGTTCTTAACCCTTAACTCCTGCTGAGGTCAGAACAACCTCAGTCTAAGCTCTGTATCCATCATACTGTTAACTGAAACAAGTGCGGGTGGGGGGGTGGGAGGGGTAACTCAGTCCTGCCATTGCCTACCAGTAGGAGAGTCCAAACAGAACACTCATTTGAGTAGCGATTATTTAATTTGCCCAGTCAAGGCACCGTGTTTATATACTATTTCACATTGAATTTGATTATGCCCTACAGACCTGGCTGGTCAAGGATTTGATATACACATATTGGCTTGGGATTCGAGCTTTCTTTTTTATTTAAATAAAAATTTATATATATTATATATATACATATATACATAGCTATATCTGTATATATATTGGGTATGTTTTAAGGATTTCTTCGCATGAGCGCAGCTGTTGCGATAAAATGACTGATTGGGAGGTAGAAGCACTGAATGAAGGTGAGGCATTTTTCATTTGATGCAGACATTTCTCTTTTTAACATACATTCATTTGTTTTTTTATTTAATTTACTATAAACCCTCTTACAGTTATATTTTAAATACTCATTGTTGGGAGAAGGAAAGAAACTTTGGTTTTGTCTGACAGAATGTTAAAGAATTTCCATTTTTCTGCATAATTATACAAGGCAGCATTATTGACCTGGAGCCTTCTATGCAGAGTTGGGCATGTAATCCTAAATCGTCAATGAAATTGATTTACTTTGGAAGTTGGAATTACTCTGGTATTAGAAAAGAACATAAGGTTGTTAATTTGCTGTACCTTTGAAGACCCCATACTCTGGAGAACTTGGTTAGGAAGACAGAAGAGATGTATGCTATCCCATTGTGCCTGTAATTTAGCTATTTTAAATTCATCATTCTGCCTTACCTAATGGAAATTCTTAGTTTTGTTTTCCTAATGCTCACTTTGTAGGTTCAGAAATTCAGTAAAACCCTCAAAGTTTGGGTATTTTTCCCACTTTTCCTTTGTGACATATTTTGTGTTATAAAGAGCTAATAAAAGTAAGTGGCCTATGAGTACATAATTACTTGACTCTGCTTTTTAAAATCAGAATCAGAAAAGCATTGATTTATTTTCCTGGCTTTTAAATTTATTTATGCTTTTAGAAGCATTAAGAAGTGGGGCCGGTCAGTTAGGAAATGTAGTTTCTGTGCTTTTTGAGACAGGGTCTTGCCAAGTCGCCCAGGCTGACCTTGAACTCCAATCCTCCTGCCTCAGCTTCCTGAGTGCTAGGATTTACAGGCATGTACCACCACACCTGAAAATCTTTGTTCTTATTTAAATGTTAATTTCTTTTGAAGATGACTGTGTGCTTTGAACGGAACTTAAAGGTAAAACTTGTACATCTTACGTGAACAAGAACAGTTTTGAGAGGGATAAGATAGTGAATGATGAGCATTATGTTCATGCTTGTTTATTTAACAAAACCAGAATTTTATTGTGGTAAGGAATATAAAAATATTTAATCTTCATTCAAGGTGTCTCTGGAGAGGGTTGAAGATATGACAGGACTTTTAGACTTCATTTCTTGTCTTCATGAGGTTCTTTTGCCTAATTTATAGATATTGTCACAAGATAGTAACTGCCAAGTATCTTGGATAATTTACAGAGCCTGAAATGACCAAAGAACCAGTACTTACTGTTTTTCTAATTAAAAGAAAGTTAATTATAGCTTAGGTTTCTAATATTATTATTTAAATGATTAGATACTATTCTTAATGTCAATTACAAATATTCAACTATTCAGAATATTTAAAAATTGGTACAGCATTATCGTGGGTGACTCCCTTCTCTCATCTTATATTTCATCCCTTCTCCTATTCTTTCCCATGTATTTATTATTTTGCCTAAAAAAGGAAATTTGTAAATTCTTTGCTACTTTGAATATATAATTCCATCAGATTTTCCATAGTCTTCAGCGTTGGAACTCAAAATTTAATTTTTAAGTTTTTCCACAATTGTCTCTTTTGTTTCTGACTCTTTTCCATTTTGCAGTTTCCCCTAGACTTACCCAATCTGTAACAGTAACAGTTTGCTGCCTCAAAACAGAGCATTCAAATGAATTCGCTTAGCCAATAACTTCTGTGAAGTTGCCTTTTCTAATGGTGTTATTACTCAGTGATGCACAAATGTGGTATTTGCCCTACTGGTAGGCAAACAAAGGTCTGGTAAATGGTAACCTGCTGTTTTCTTTAAAGGAGAGCCAAAGACTTGTGCTTAACTCTGTTTTGGTTTTGGGGGTGGGAGGGAGTAGTAGCTGTTTTGATTATGAAATTTTTGTAGTATTTGTGAGTTGATTGTACTGTGTAGATCTGTCTAAAGTTAACTGTTAAAGTTAGCTACCCTTATAAAATACAAAAGGGATGAAAGTCATCAATTTTTCTAAAGCAGTACATATTATCTTTTGCAACATTGTGTATGAATAAGTACTTCCCTGTCCTGTTCCCCTACTTTTATGGAGATGATCTTGTTACAATAACATCTTCTGTATCTTTGTTTTTTCACTTGTGCCTAAAGGACAATATATATTATCAGTATGGTTAAGTCAAAGGACTGAGTCATGGTCTCAAGCATGTTGCTGGTAAGAAATAACCATACTTAGTACATGTAAACATTATGTTCAGGTTTAGAGAAAAAGAGATTCTTTTCACTAAAAGTTGATATGGATGGATGTCTCACCATTTTTCCTCCACTATTTGCTCCTTTTAAAGAAATTAAGTGGAAGATTTTATATAAAGTCTCTCTCTAGAAACTACATATATAATGATGTGTATTATTAAAAGCAGTAGCCCAGTTACTTCTTAGAAAAAATTAGTAACCTATTTGTAAATTAGTGTTTATGTAGATTTTTATACATAAAAAAGTTCAAATGTGTTAAAATTTCAGTTGGTGATATATGGTATTAGTGTTACAAGGTGATCTCATCCCCTGAAAATAAAAATAAAATAGTTACTGAATTTAAACAGATTTAACCTCAGCTCAGCACTGAGCAAACAAGCAATGTACTACTGCCATCTTAATCTGCATGCCTGTTTTGCTGATCTACATCTACATTTATTAAATATCTGCCTTGAACAGGTATGTTTTTAATATTTATTTGTTGCTTCAGCTCATCTTCATGAAATTTTTTAATGAAATGACTTATTGGGAGTTGTAGGTGCATGGCAGTTAATATATATTTAAAATTCTCAATTCACCTTTTCTGAGCCACTTCAAAAAGAAAGCTGTTTTGTCAAAAGGTACTATTGTAGTAATTTTATATTTGGATTTTTTTTATTTTTTTTTTATTTTTATTTTTTTGTCAGATGTGGGGCTTGAATTGGGGCCTGGACACTGTTTTGTTGCTCAAGTCTAGCACTAACATTTTGAGCCACAGTGCCACTTCTGGTTTTCTGGTGGTTAATTGCAGATAAGAGACTCATAGACTTTCCTGCCTGGGCTGGCTTTAAACCTGGATCCTCAGATCTCAGCCTCCTGACTGGGATTACAGGCATGAGGCACCAGCGCCCAGCAATATTTGGAATTTTATTATTTTATTTCTGTGATTGCTGAAGCTGTTTTCCTAACTAACATATTCTAATTGGCACATAAAACTGGCTATAATGTTAATAAAGAATAAGGAATTGACAGTGTCAATTAGTAATGCCTAATTATAAACATGTGCCTAGTAGGTAGGTTTTTCAATGCTCACTGAACTAAATGGGAGAGTCCTTTGAAATCCTGTTGTTATAATTTCCCTCACTGGAATCCGTGTTGTCAGAGCCTCTAGATTTTCAGCCAAACACTGAATTCCCCTAAACTTATCCTTGAGCAAAACACCCTAAAGTAACCTTTATTTTCACCAGAAAAATGAGGCACAATAACCCAAGGTGGAAAACTTAAACCTCAAGACATTGATTTGTCCAAAAATGTGTATTTAGAAAAATAAAATCCTGTGGACTTAGTTATCCTAATTTATAATATGTATATATATATATATATATATATATATATATATATATATACACACACACATATATATATTACTAGATAGATGATTTATTTCCTTGTTTGAGGTCTCACTTTCTTGCTGATTGTTTAGCTTTGTGTTTTGTTTTTGTTTTTTTAAGCAGACAGAGCTCACAAGTCTTTGGCATCCCTGTTAGGTTGTACACTCAAAACATCTTATAACTGGAAACTGTCAGGTGGTTCCCTCACCCTGTGAGTGCATGAAAGGGTCAAGAAAAGGATAGAAACAAATATTGGGTGGATAATCTCTTGATTTTTTTTTTGCCTGATTTTTAAAAAATCACCAGTTATTAGTGTAATCAGTTTTTCCCCATTGTTTAGTTAGCATTCTCACAAATTATGTGAACCACTGCATAAATTTCTCTGTTTGCTTCTCATCTTTACATTCTTTTCAGACACTACTTTGAGAGGGTTTTTTTCCCTAGCTGTATTGTTGCTCAAGTTTTCCTATGTAACCTTTTTTGCATCCTTTCTTATCTTCACTCTTCTGAGAGTAAAACTTGAAGAAAAAAAATACTTTTCATTTTCTTCATTGGTCATGAGCCTCATCATCTTACCCTATGATGAATCTGTGTGTTTTTGAACTCTATGATGAGTCTGTGACTTTCCATGAACAGTGGAAACTATGAATTAAGGTAATGAACAATGTTTTACCCACTTAAAACATTTTCCAGTTGTGAGATTTCTCTTCATGTGTGGGGTCTCTTCCCCTTGCTAGCCCCTGCTGCCCTTCATCCCTGACTATGGTTAATTGGTCTTTAGGCTCATATCAGTCTCCCCGAGACATTCTGCAGTCATTATCACCTTTTTGGGTGGATTTTGTTTTGTTTTGTTTAACATTGATGCATATTTGCTTGGGATAGAGCTTGTGTAATTTACCAATCGTATTGATTGTATGTGATTGTGCCCTGCAGAGGTATACTTAACAAAAGTAATCTAGGTTAGTAAAGGAGCTATGAGATTTGAGTCAGATCATAGGTGACTGAATCACTTACTGTTTTTTATTATTACTATATAAATCAGTACTAGACAAAATAACATTTTTAAAAGATGTTATTGAATTTCTAGCTGTTTTTTCCCATTACCTCAACTTTTGTCCTATTCTTGCCTATCTACCCATCTGCTGATTTTCCAGATTGCTGAAGTTCATGAAATTGTCCAAATATTTCCAGCTTCTAAAAAGTGAAGGCAAGTAGGTGATGGGCTGGAGTTTTACACACTGAGTTAGTCCTTAGCATCCAGCAAATTGGCAAACTGCCTTCTGAAAGGTTTTTTTGTAAGAAAAAACCCCTTTTAAAATAGAATATCTCATCTTTTTTTTAGTCAAATATTCTAGTTTGTCAGCATCCTAAATGAGGTGGGGAAAACAGTAGCAGTGTGTTTAGAGCATCAGAACTCTGGGTCTAAGTACATGTTTTACTCATTGAAGAAATTTGGGAGGATTGGGGCCATCTTTTTCAATTTTGTACTTGTGTGCATGTTGTTTATAACAAAGATACCACATTTTATTAAAATGCTATTTCCTTTTTTTCCTTGGATACTGACTCAGCCTCTTACTGCTCCATATTAGGGTTTAAGGCTCCTGTAATTTGCAGATAAAAAGGATTTATTTTAAGAAGTAGAAGGAGGTGATTCACCTTATGGATTGTAAATATATGGAGGTGTCTACAAGATCTTTATCTGCTTTCTGTCAGCATTTACATTAAATGATAATGAGGAGGAATCGTGTAGTCTTCTTTTTGTAAATGAGTCTGTGTTGTCTTTTTCTTACCTTGGGACAAACTGATAAAAAAATTTACAGAAGCAAACACTTGCCAATTTTCTGTACATCATGAGAGAGAGTGCAGCCGGGCGCTGGTGGCTCACGCCTGTAATCCTAGCTACTCAGGAGTCTGAGATCTGAGGATCGCGGTTCAAAGCCAGCCCGGGCAGGAGAGACCGTGAGACTCCTATCTCCAATAAACCACCAGAAAACCAGAAGTGGCGCTGTAGCTCAAGTGGTAGAGCACTCGCCTT